GAATGGAACCTTTCTATCTTTGTGGAGATTAACCCAGAGCAAGTGACCGGTCAAACCCCACTCACAGTCAGAATGCCTGTTTTTCGAGGTATTTTTGAGCTATAAAACCACCTTGTAAGTTAGAGCTGTTTAATGTCATACTGTGGAACATTAAAGCCAGAGCAATGACATATCCATAGAAACAATCACGTGATGGACCCTCCTCCAGAAAAGTTAAACAATGCATCTGTAAAATGCATCTGTTGCAGTGCGTCATTTGCCACAATAAAAAAAGCTTTAATATTTCCCACTGCAGACTGATGGGAGTCAGTTGCATGAGAAGAGACTGAAGAGGCTCACCACAGGAGGGAGTGTCCATTGGCTCATGCGCAGGAATGTTTTTGTGCATTGGACAAAAATTCGAGGAAGAGTGTTTGATATGATGCATGACCTCATCAGCGTAACAATATGGGACAGGGCTGATAATACAATGAGAGAGACCGGATACTTCGGAAGTGAAATTTCAGTAGTACAGGGATCACGTTGGAAAACATAATCAAGAGGTGTGAAAGTTCAGTGACCATAACTGTGAATTGTCATGACCTGAAATGTTAGAATGGGTCTGACTGACATTTTAATTACATGTCAGAATGCCCTTGAAATATTTTGATCATGAGAGCGCTGCATGGGTGATCCTGCACACTCACTTTCATCCTGACTTTATTGACTCTGGGTCTAAGGATATATGAATTTTCCAGCTTCTGCATAAAAATAAATACTTTCTTTCAATATTTATTACAGATAATTAATTGCCTTCTGCATACCAAATGTGTGCCAAACTGTCAGCAGCTTGTCTATGAACTAACCTTTTCCACAAAACGATAGCTTTCCACCTCAAGCTGAATCTCAGTATTTGCTCATTATAAATTTCACAGAAAGGTCAGAAAATGTCACGGCTTGACTTCTAAGTACTTCTTTACATTTTGAAATATTTATTACAGAAAATACAGATTTCTGCATTTGGTACTGGACTTGATTTCTGTTATTATATTAGATGACTTGCTGTTAATTGTTCAGATCATATAACTAAACACATTCCTATGTTGTCTAATTCTGATTTTACTCAAACTACTGTACTACCTTTATCACATTTTGAACATTGATAGTAATTGTACACACAGAATACACATAAAACCTTGACTGTCTCATAGTTTCCTGATGTTGTTTAGTTGCAGCTGGTGTGATTGGATGCACGCGTCCATAAACAGCTTTGAGTATCCACATGCTCCTGCTGCTCTTGCCCTTGTAAGGAGACCCCAGCTGTGATGACTGAGGCTGAAGGACGCTGACACCTCACACTCAACATTTGCTATGAGACAGGAGTTTGTTGTGACCAAATATTTAAAATGGAAGGTGCACAGTGTAATAAAAAAGCTGCAATTTTACTGTGATGTTACACAGTTGGCATAGTAAAGTTCACATGGTTCTGGCTGAATTCAAAGTTAGACAGTCTGTCATTAAGCAGTAGGCTCTTTAGGACAGACTTGTAATTTTGTGATCAGATGTTGCGTTATTGGTATTCATTTGGACAAAGAAATAACAAAAATACAGTTTACACCACAGACTGTATAAAGAAGTGGATTAAGGGAGTATGACGTCACCCATAGTGTTCAGCTCCAATCAAATGAAGCTTACAAGGCTAGAGCTTATAAGAGCGAATTTGGAGCCAAGTACCATAGTAGGAACAGGGATTTATTTACTATCAAATAGCGAAATAAAAACATCTGTATTACCTCGAGCAGGGTAATACAAACATTTTAAGACCAAAATGATGAGGCTCACAGCAGCAGTTACAGAGAGAGGGGTGACAATTTCTCAATGTAAAGTCAATTGGAAACAGTTGATGGAGCCAGAAGCGCAGCAGCCAGTGGGTAAGCTATGTCCATTTATATATACATTCTATAGTTTACCCATGAGATCAATACATGATTTTGTCTGTTATTTATTGTGTTTCAAGTGAGGAATAATAACTAAATCATAATCTATCTGTCGATCAGTCTACCTATGGAATGGTCAAGTCCTACAAATGACGTCCATATGAGAGAGTGATGGTAATCTTTCCCCTTTTCATACAACATTTGCTTCACACTGACTATTAGGGGTGTAATGATATCCAAGTTTCAAGATGCAATATCGTCACGGTACGATATTTATTGTGATATCATGGGAAAGCTCATGATATGGCGGGGAGGCTCTCGATTAGGGATGTAACAATATCCAAATCTCTGTACAATATTTTCACGATATACATCTCACAATGCAATATTTTGAGAAGGCTAACAAAACTGTTAATATGCTACTTTTTCCTCTTAAAATGTCTTGACAAGACTTAAACCAAAAAACTAAGACTTAAAAGTGCTTAGAACTGTTATTTCTTCATGTAGTCTACACTGAAATGGAGCAAAGGATCATGGTCTATGTAGTCCCCTCTGTTTTTTTTAGCTTTTGCTTCACCATAACTCTTAAATAGACTTGTAATTCGATATATTGTGATGGCCCACGATATTATTGTGAGAACTTTATATCACGATATTTTGGTTATTGTTACATCCCTACTGACTGTATATAAACTTTTAAAATGACAGTTTGGCCATTCTAGTATTACTAACACAGCCAATTGTTTTCACATAGTTGTTCAGTGAAAATCAGTAGATACCCTTGATTATATCATTAACACTCGCTTTCTTGACAGACTATATTACACGGAACAGATAATGGCAGCGCACGTTGTCGTGATTGCAGTATTAAACTCATTTGACCTCAGGAGAATTTGGTGCAGCAGACACTGGAGGAGCTCTGCCAGCATTTTTAAAACAAGGGTTCAATCTGAGCGAGAACTGGCACCGTCCCACACAGGGATACTCCTCTGTAATTAGACAGTATACATTCAGGGCACCCAGAGGAGAAGAAAGCGCATTTTGTTTGCGAGAGTGAATGTCCAGTGATCTATGTGGCTATAGCTGAGGCTGCGGTGAATGCTAAGATGAAGCTAAACCTCACAGTTTTCAATAGTAGTGTTCAGCTGTTTTTGTTTTGTTTTTAGTTAATTTTATACATGAAGGAATGCAGAGCCAGCAACAGGATAAACAAATCTAGATTGACTCACCCCCCTCCCCTTCCCACACCACAACGCCCCCTGTCCTGCAGCAGCTGAGAGGCACATGCAGGGGCCTTACCTCAGACAGACTGGAGTGTGGCCTGCTCCCTTTTGGGAATAGTGATGCAGGTTGAGATCAGCTTTGCTTTGTTCACAAAACAGCTGTGAGGTCTCTAATAGATAAAGAGGCGGGCTTAGGTTAAAAAAATTTATCACCTTTTTTGTAGAGTCTAGGTCACAATTTTTGTAAGAGGTAACATAGATCTGATCTGTATCTTGGCCTGGTGGCGGCGCCTGCTTGTCTTCATGGAGATAGATACGTTTAATGCTTTACTGTGGAAAATTCCAGACAAAGCAATAGACAAGTGAGAGACTCTCTATCAGGAAAGCACTGGATCACAATTCTATACAGTAACATTTGACAGAGTTGTAATATAGTTGTTCATATCAGAGTTTCATGTGACAGTAAATCAAAAGAAATGCTTGAATAGTAGCAGCTCTCGTTGCACGTGTTTCTAATCATAGCTCCGAGGCACTGACTGATCATGTTGCGTTCAAAGACCAAATGTTTACTTGAAAACAACTTTCGAGAGACATTCACTGGTGCAAATATGTCCAAAGCGTTTAGGCTGAATTGTTGGTTGCTCAAAAGTTTCAAAAATGTTCTTAATAAAAAGTTAAAATAGAAAGATTTGTATTATGAATATGTACGTGATAAAAGTGAGTGATATAAAACATTGTAGTCTACCATATTGAGCAATACAATCTCCATTCTCTAAATGAGTAGTATTAATTAGGCCTATTTTAGAATCCTGTGTCATATGTTTAATGGTTTGTGACTCGATGAAAAAAACATTTACCTCAGAATTGTTGATATTTTGCAGTCACATCACGGGGGGGTGTTCCACATGTGTTTTTATGTTGGAATGACCAGCAGTTACCATGGAGAAACAATGTATACATAGCATATGCAGTCAAAAAAAAAAGTTTAAGGTTGTCTGAAAACTCAAGATAAATCAAAATCTAAGTAAACAACACATTTTCCGGAGGCTGGGATCAAAATGAGAGTTCATGGTTCTGTTTAGCTGTTTGATTTTCAATAAAAACGTGGGAGTCTCTAACTGAAAAACAAATTCTAGCTTGCTTGTGACTGTGATGTTACATACGGGAGACTTGTTTAACAGCACAAATCAGATCACCTGTTGTAGTTCCAGCTAAATCAGTTCTTTACGGTCAGATTGTGGTAAAATAAACCACAGGTTAAAGTCGAATAAAGCATCAGAGAGAGCATGTTCACAGTGAACATCATACCCCCAGGAAATATTGATAACATCAGCTGCAAAGTATCAATAGTATTATTCCAGGTAAGGCCACTATATTTTTGCCATTACTTGATAGCACATTGACTGTTAGAGAGCTCATATAAACACGTTTTTCTTTTCTTTTTTTCTTGTAAACTCTTGTGTAATTGTATGCATCATAATCATAATCATAGTCATCTTACGTGTAACAAAAATATGTCATTATGTTATTTTGTGCAGTCTAAATGACTTATCTAACCCTGGTATGCAAACTCACTTTCCATAGCGTGTCAATAAGTTCAAAAACTATTCTAAACAAACACAGTATTGAATGGGGGCCTATTGTTTAATTTATTACCTCAGTTTGGTTTCAAAGGAGGTCGAGCACAAAGGATAGGAGACAGACGGAGACTGGGGCGTGGGTCTGCTCTCCACTGTCAAGGGCACGCTGTAATCAGATATGGGAGTGTTAGCAGCACACTGGCCCCATTATGAGCAGGTCTAGTGCCCCCCGGTGGGACTGGGACCTCCGGACCTGACCAGACCTTTGCTGTGTGTTTCAGGTGGGAGGAAGAGGCCATGCGCAGACAGCAGCTGGAGTCCACGGTGGAGACACTGCAGCAGGTTGGAGGCACAGACCAGAAATATATCTCATGACAGGACAAGTGACTCATGTGATGCCAAGTACTGTTGAAAGATGCATTATTGACACAAAAAAGTCATGTTTCCTAGCACAGTGACCTGCTTGTGTTTATGGTGGATTTCAAACTAAATCAAATTACCAAAATAATAATACATACTAAGGCTGTAAGGCTGTATGCCTTTAGTTATTTAGTTGATTAATCGGTCTGTGTCTGGGTCAACCAAAATTTGTATTAATTGACTTTTGATCAATCCTTTTGTTTAGATTATTAGGATTTATATGGGACAGCAGAAAGTTAGTGGGTGAGTAAGCTGAAGAATTGTTTGGTATTTATGTAAAAAGATCAGGCTTGGACACATAGAAATACATAAAAACGTAAAAACTTGAATTTCCCTCAGGATCAATAAATTATCTCCCTCTCTCATACATAATTGTTTTGAGAGCTTTTACAGACTCCCTTCTTAGTCGACTAATCTGTCTTCTGTTGACCAAGAATTTATACAACGTATGCACTGCACTGTGCAACATTTCTGGTTGATGCTACTGCACTTGCTTTTCTATACATATAGTAGTGTTATTGCTTTGCCTGGAATGTTCCACAGTCATTAAACTTGTGTATCTCCATGGAGGTAAACATGTGGCGCCACCATGCCAAGTTATAGGTCAGATCTGGGGAGAGGTGATACCCCTCATTGTAAGAATGCCAACCATTTCTGAGCATTTAGATAAGCTTAATACCATGCGGTAAACATTTCAGGCAAAGCAATAACAACTCCATGCAAACTCCATCAGAAAAGTTTCACATAGCAGCTTTAACCTATAGCATCCATCCATTTCCTTCCACGGGGTCGTGGGGGGCAGCAGTCTAAGCAGGGACTCCCAGACTTCCTTCACCCCAGACACATCCTCCAGCTCTTTCGGACCTATAGCATTCCTTTGATATTAAACAGGAAAACAGCAAAAGAAAAATATTATAAACAGAATCTGATAAACAACATAATCCATTTGCAATTTGAGTGTGGATTTAGGAACAAGATTTGATGACAATTCTGTGGCAGTGGATCCATCCAAAAAGGCCATTTGAAACCTGAACTTTTCAGCAACTGGCCCAGGTTTGGAAATGCAGGAATGTCCACATCAGAAAAATACATATTTTGTGTTTAGTATGGACCACACGTATACAATAAAGTACAGCATATCTATCTATACAGTCAAATAAACAGCCTAATCAGCCCTGTCAGGTGAATATACATTGTAGTTGCCAGTGTCCACACACACAAAGAAGGCAGGTGGGTTCAAGAAAGTGCCTCTGCAGCAGAAACTCAGGCTTGTGATGTTTTATTCAATACAGATTTAACAGAGCTGCACCAGGAACTAGCCTCAGCCCAAAAGATGTATCAGATTAGAACAACTGTATTAGAGAGACATTAGCGGTGTGCTGGGACAAGATAGAGACTTCACCACAACACTAGCTTATGTGCAAAGCCGATATGTATAGTAAAAGTGTAAACATTTTCACGTGACATTGTAACTTTTTTTAAACTGCTTGCTATGTAACTTTTCCAGTTAGAGGGTCCGTCACCTGCTTGTCTCTATGGAGATGGTATATCTTAGGAATAAACAACAGGAAAAAACATGCCATCCTTTGGAACAGCAATAACAAAGCAATCATCTCCTTACAGACAATCAGATGACAACCCCTTTACCAGAAATATTACATATTGCACCTTTTAATGTCTTTTTTCAATAAATATTAACTATTGTGATTTTTTATTTATTTTTTTTACTAAAATGAGGTGGTATTGTTTTAAATACACAAGCACAATTGTTGTCAGCTAACTAAGAGTTATAAGGTTCTTTTGTACCCTCCATATTCAATTAGAACATACATTTGTTATAGATACAACTTAAGTATTTACATATGACATAATATTCCCTATTAATTCTATTAATAGGGAATATTATTAATTCCCTGTATGAAATGTGTGGCCTCTCATTGTTTTGACATTTTTGGTCATTAAGTTGAATTGACATTTAAAGAATTTGACAACACAGTAGGTTTCCTCCTTGGGGCAGTAAACCTTTCAGACCAGTGCAGCAGATGCCCTTGTGTTTGTGAGGTGGGCTTTTGTTCACACACAGTAAATTTAGACAACAGAGAAAGAAACAACCAGATGGTCCCCATATGAACTCTCACAATAGGCAAGTTTGTACTAAAAACAGATGAAAAGTATATCATTTAAACAATAATACGTTGGAGAGAGAATATGTAATAACTGCATAAATGGTCGCAATGCAGTTATTACGTTATGAAAATAAAAAGCTAAAATATTGAGTGAAACTGATCCCATTATAATTACTAATTATCCTTTTATCAACCTTCATGTAAAGTGCCTTTGAATATCTTGTAAAGTGCTATACAAGTGTTAACTTGTAGGCCTTGTTTGATCATAAGTTCAGTCACTCTTCTCTAATCTATCCAAATGGTTTATAGCATTTTATCAACACAAATAGCATGTTTGAATACATTTCCCTATCTTGTACATGTTTAAATGTTTTTATTGCTGTGTTTTCTCTCGCAGAGCGCTCAGGAGTCACAGGAGGTGCAGGGAGAGCTGAATGAAAAGGTGGAGAGACTCAAAGCTGAAATTGTGGTGTTCAAAAGTTTGATGAGTGATGTAAGTATCTTACAGTCACATACATATGGTACATGTCTGATGTTGGCCTGTGTTTTGATAAAACATAAGCCTACATGTTTGCTTGACAAATAAGGTACTATGCATTTATAGTAACATTATAAAGTTCAGATATACTAATACTGAACAGACTCAAATACTGATGTCATGCAATGTAGACTAGACACAATTCCTGTCTATGTACTACCTGTATAAATAAATGCCAGGTTTATACACTTGGAACACATCAGAATGCTATGTTGACTTCTGACACTGGTAGTTACTGACATATGATAGCAATGTGTTTAGTTTAGTTCACCACTTAAATGAGAAATTTACACAATCATTGCTTTGTGTTTGCATGACATAAACCTTTACTGACAATAGGCTATATACACAGACTTTATTTCTTATCGGTGTGTGTGTCTGACACAGACCTCAATTGAAAAGACCTCCATCAGCTGTTTATCATTGGGACTACTTCCTCCTCTGCTCTCTCAGTATTGTTCAGTATTGTTTTGTATTGTCTAGTGTCAGGCCTGCTCCTCTCTGATACACAGTCCATTAATCTCCAGTGGACCAGTTTAGCCATCCACAAACATATGGTACAGGTCATGAAATACTGTAACAAATACGCTTGTAACTCAGTTATTTATACTTATTCTTTAATTATCATTTATATGCAGGAAATATAATGTTGAGAATATTAAAGTTGCACAATGTAACTGTTGTCGAGCCTGCCACCTGCTTTTCTCCATGAAGATGTGAAAATGTTGCAAGAAGTTAAAATCCAACAAATTCAAAACATTTCACTGGAGACAAGCAGGTGGAGTTCTCATCAGAGTTACACAGAACACCTTTAAATATGTATGCAAACCAAAAACCCTTAACTTAAGTGCAAATTAACTTCTTATCTTGTTTTTTATGATGGCATTATGTACAGTTCATCTTCCTTATTAGTGTTTTAAAGATTAGACTGATCCATTAATACAGTCGTCACTAGCCTCACTTCCTCTTCTGCTTTCCCAGTATTTAGTATTGTTTTATGTTGTCTAGTGTCAGGCCTGCCTCTTACTGATACACTGCCCATTATTCTGCAGTGGACCAGTTATCGCTTGTGCTAACTCAGCAATACGTGTCATTTCAGTTTGATCCACACTTTTTGTTGTCTTATTTTTCTGTGCTTCATCCATCCTCCTCAATATGTCACATGTGCACAGTGGAAAGTAAGTCTGTTATGGTACAAAAAACATGGTGGCCAATAATGAAAAGTCACAACAATGAATTTAATTATAAAAGGACATCTGTATTTAAATTTGGGTAGATGCAACTTCATGTATACGTAACTATACTATCCTATATAGTAATTTTGATGATTCAGTGTTGTTGTTGTGACTTCCCTTAAGGGCCACTGTATAAGCCAGTCTCTGTTAGATGAAATGTAGTAACATGTAGTTACTACTAGACTATTATTAGTAAACCATTAGTCCAAAGTAAGTGAGAATAGTGTAATGTAGACTAGAAAAGAAAGCCCAGGAGATGCCATTTTCATTAGTCTTTTTGATGTTGGCCATACCTGCTTGTCCATGCTCAATCTCCTTTAGATCAGGGAAGCTGGAAACTGTTGTTGTGTCCTTAGGTAAGACACTTCACCCACATTACCTATGTATGAATGTGGTGTGTGTGTGTGTGTGTGTTGGTCATGGCTAGAGAGGGCAGAGATACACATTGGCAGTCTTGCTTCTGTTACTTTGCCCCAGGACAGCTGTAATAACAGTATTATCTTACCACCACAGAGTGTGGAGTAAATGAAAAATGCACTGTTCTTAGGATGTCTTTTCTTAATTTATAAATGTGGTCCATGTATAATTCAATAAGGCCCCTAAATGACGTCAATTAAAAAAACATATGGGTGGGATTGGTTTAGTCTTGTCATCCAGTGTTTATTGTAGAATAGGAGAAGTTTATAGGACTCAGAGACATAAACCCTCCAGACACTGTGAAATCTGCTATGCTTCCGCTGTAGGGAGTATTATACCTCTGATGACACAGGCCAAGATAATAACAGAGTTATTATCTGAGATGACAATGAGTACCCTCAGCATAGCTCCACAGTGCAATTGCTCTAACAGTTTTTTTCGCTTCCCGTTGCAGCAAATGTCTGACCTGGATACAAAGATTCAGGAGAAGGCGAGGCACGTAGACATGGACATCTGCCGGAGGATCGACATCACGGCCAAACTATGTGATGTCGCCCAGCAGCGAAACTCAGAGGACATGTCCAAAATGTTCAACGTCAGCCCGGCCCGATCACTGCCCGAGAGGGTGGGTATATGTCCACAGGAGCGCTGACAGCTCTGACGTGTGCGAGCAACAGCAAGAAACACTGCATCCAAGGGGAATATACTTGGGTTTGTTATGTTGCCTTGGGCCATTCTGAAGTGAGGAAAAATGAAGGAGGTTGAGTCAGTAAAGTGTACTGTAGGGATTTAGTGCATGTATGGGATAAAGTAGTTCTTTATATTGTATTTGCAGGCTTTCAGTTCTTTAATCTAGCATATTAGCAAAGACTAACTAGTGAGTATATTAGGATTAGACTCTACATATTTTGAGTGCTGGGGTTTGACTAGTGGTTAGTGGTTAAAGCACACCAGAAAGTTGTCCGATGCATAAAGCTGTTATGTCCTTAGGCAAAACACATCACCCATCTTGCCTGTATGAATGCAGTGATTGTTTGGCAGTCTTGGTTCTGTCTACCCCAGGACAGCTGTGGCTACAAAAGTACTAAGTATGTAGTACTATGATGCAGAGTTAATACCAAATACGAATCAGTTGCCAGATTTTTCTGTATTCCGCAATGGTCTGGAGCAGTTTAGCAGTAATTAGATGAGTGCTTATTTGTGTTATTCTGGGAACCCACATGAACCTGCATTGCTTTGGTCAAATATGGTTGCTATGATAGACAGTCTGCAAGTAATCCACTCAAATTTCATGCCTGTATTGAAAGTAATCAAGGGGAGAATGAATAATGGACCAAATAAACTTAATGTGTCTGGATAAGCTCTGTATTATGTATTATGTACTATGTATGTATGTATGTATGTATGTATGTATGTGTATATATATATATATATATATACACACATACACATACACATATATAGATATAGATATATACACATACATATATTTTTATTTTTTTTTTACTGTGGAGGCTTTTTCCCTTTAGCATGTAAAATCAGACCTTACACAAATCCAGTTAGATGTCGTGACTTGACTCTGTGTGAATATAGTGACAGTATATTAAGCCTCTTGTCGCGTTTGCAGTCTGATCACTCATACAGTGAAGGGAAATTAAATGCTGATGTGGTCACTGCCTTCAAGGTTATCATATTGTGCCGATGGGACTGGCTCAGGTTCATCCCACTGGAAGCTGTAGGGAATGCTTATATAAATGTTTAGTGTGGTCATTTCATTTTTATTGGGTAGCCTATTTTTTCACATGTCATAATAATCTACATTGTATGTGTTGGTAGCCTACTTATCTTATCCAGTCTTATTTAAATTCATATAGTCCAGAAGTACCAGTTATTAGCTTACAGTGCATTGGGTTGGTTGAACTTTATTACAGAACTAACATACTGACTAAACTGAGTCTAAACCAGGATTATGCCTCAAAAATAATAATCAAAAATAAAGCACTATTATGGGACAAAATCTGTAATTATCACAAAGCTTAATCAGCACTAACTTAACCCAAGCCTGTCTGCGTTCTCTATTTTATTATCAATAATTGCGTCCCATAATCCTATGAGTTATTGAATTTGCGAGCACATCAAATACAGCATCATCACCTCCTTTCGACACTCCATATTTTAAGCCCACATAACATACAGTCGGCCATCTTGGGTTTGTGACATGTTGGTTTATTGTGTATTTTCAGGGGGCCATGGCTTCGGCCTGCTGCAGAAAGAAAGAGCGAAAGGCTGTGTCCGATGAGGAGAGCTCAGAGATGGACGCAGAACCGAGCCCGACGGATGAGGAGATGCCCGGGTCTCTCAACATCACGGATGAAATGAAACGAATGCTCAATCAGTTGTAAGTGACGCTGCCTGTGTGTGCTCTGTATTTACCACCTTTTACATTACACTGCCCTTGTCTCCTGGTGCCTGCAGTGATGGTGTTGTTGTGGTTTTCATTTAGGAAGTGCTGTGTCTCCCTCTGGTGTTTATGTGAAGTGTTGCATGCTCTTAATATATTATACCCCATTATGTATTTCTTTATAATAGCAAACTAATGGTAGTAGAATAAGTATTTATATTATTACAAGCTACTTAAGTAAAGTATATATATAAAAACATATGAAAAATCATAAATAAGTTCACAAGTGTTAAGTTTGTTAAACACTAATTTTATTTTACATTGTTACTTTAATACTAGGTAGTACTAACACTAATACAGTACCACAAATTTAATTGTATTAACTAAACTCCCTGTATAAAGTGTCTTTATGTCTAAAGCATTTAAAAACAAGTCAACTAATAATTGCAGATATTTTCTAAACCACAACAACCAAATTTAACATTTCACTAAATAGGTGAATTACATTAGCTTTTTCAAAGTATTGTAAAATTACAAGCCTATGCCAGTTTATTAGGCTTCATGTGCTTGCCTTGTGTTTGTCTGTTGTTTGTCATAATTGTTGAGTCTTGTGGCTGTGACCTCTACTTCTTTTTCCTCTCTCTTCGTCCCTTCTCTCCATATCGCCTTCTTCCCTCATCTCCTTGGTTCCTTGCCTTCTCTGTCCTTGTGTCCTTGATCCCTTGGTCCCTTGTGTCCTTGGTCCCTTCTCTCCTTGTCTCCCATGCAGCCATTGCTCAGATGATAACTCGTTTGTTGCCAGGAGGGAGACGTTTGACATTGACGATGATTGCGACAGCCTGACCTGGGAGGAGAACGAGGAAACACTGCTGCTCTGGGAGGATTTCACCAATTACAATGTACCCTCCGCCATCACCATGACAACGTGCCCCGCCCCCAGTGAACCCAATGGAGATGCCCCTGACCCCGTGAGTTTTTGAGGCTGCCCCACTTATTGACACCATATGAATCACCAAGTGAATCAATTATAAAAAAAAATAAAATAAAAATAACAATTCTGTCCATTATGGACCTATGAATGGCTGAAAGTAATTGAAAAATAATTCACAATGTGTAAACTATTTAGTTCAAACATTTCAATAAAATAAAAATGTGTGATTTTCATAGGTCTCATCTTCTTGTTTGGAGGCTCCATTTTGACAACTTTTCTTTATTAAAAATATGTTTTGAATTGTGACAACAATGCAAATTTTTCGGTCCGAGTCTAAAACCTATGGAGAGAAATGAGCTGTACAGATTACAATTAAACCAGGACCAAGGTATTACTGGTTCAAAATTGTTAAGCGGATATATTTATTCATGTACAACCGCCCCGATGAAGAGTACATATAGAGATCTCTGTGTATGTGATCCTTAGGACTCTCAGGATGGCAGCCTGGGAAGCCTCATCGATGAAACTGAGTCTCTGTTTAAGACGCGAGAGCAAGAGTACCAGCAGACCATCGGACAGATAGAGGTGACTGCATAGGGGGAAGTACTCTTATCAAGAGGGCTGTGGTTTATTAAATACATTTACTCATTCATTTTCTAGCAATGATCCTAATGCTACTTAAGACCACTTGTTGTGCTATTTAAAGCTAAATGTGTGGGACACAACAACAGTAGGCACTACACTACCTAGTATTTCCAGCAGTCAGCCATCCAAGTACTAACCAGGCTTAATCCTGGCAAGTTCAGGTATTAGTATTGTATGTATAGTAATACTGAGTATTAATAATTTATCACTTGATATATAAGATGGCCATAACCACTTGACTAAGCTCCAAATATGGCTTTATGTAATTGCAAAATTACAAAAAAATGCCCAATTTAGCTGATTTATTATTGTGACTCACCTGGTAGCCTTGATTCTAAATCTTTGTCCAAACCCTGTGTCCCTCAGATGGAGCTGGCGACAGCGAAGAGTGACATGAACCGTCACCTGCACGAGTACATGGAGATGTGCTCCATGAAGCGCGGCCTGGACGTTCAGATGGAGACCTGCCGCCGAATGATCAAAGGGGGGCGCAGCTCACCCTCCTTCAGCTCCGTGGCCAGCTCTGACTCAGGAAACACAGACGACATACAGGACGAAATCTCAGACAAGGACCCTGAGCCTGGAGCTGTGAGCTGAGGGGAGGCAGAGGGGGAGAGAGGGGGTCTGGTCTGCCTGTACACCTGGGGTAGACCTGTGTGGACTTTGGGACCGTATCTTTGGTCTTAAAAGTCCAATCGGGTGCATAGACAGAGATCTGGTGCTTTTCCTGTTGTTAAAAGGGTTGTGGGTCCTCTTCTGTCAAGTGCATACACTGTAAACTCCAAGCTGTGCTCTTTTATTCAAGGATCTGCTAACCAGGACAGATTTCATTTTTTAAAACTGCATTTCGCTTATTTAAAAGTGCACTTGGTTTGCCACACTCCATAGAGATGTTTTGCTGGAAATACTCTACGATATGGCATTAAAATATATCAATCATAATGCATTCTTACTGTAAGGGGACTCATCTCTCCACAGATTTCACTTGTAACTTCACTTGGTTTCATCACCTGCTTGCCTCCATGGAGATAAGCATAAAGTTTAATGCTATACTGTGGAAAATTCTAGACAAAACATGATCATTCATACAGTTAAGCAGGTGGCAGACCATGGTAAAGTATGGGTGAAACTACCTATTCAACTACTTTCCATCTGCTTTGCAATAATTCCCATTATTTCATGACTTTATCACAGGACACACTCACATCCAATGCAATTACAGGGTTTCTATGAACCAGGTAAAACTAAGCAGGTAAGCTTTATACTACAGCAGCCATATTAAAATATTTGCCATCAGGTCAATCAAACTTGCTGTCTTTTGTCTCTGTGTATTACTGTCAAATACAACGCTGCAAACACTGACAGAAGAATAGCCAATGACATCTCAGTTCATTTTGATATGACATCCTTTACACAGCATTAAGAGACTGCATAACTAAACCATAAGATAGATATAGGGTTGCCAGATCAGAGAATAAGAGCACAGCTGTTTGATGCACTATTAAAGTTCTATGCAAGTTTTTGCCAGCCTTATTTTTGGACTGGCCTGTTCCCTCCTCATTTCTTTTAAGTAGCCTTTAAAGCAGGTTTTTATATGTTTTTGTGCATTTAGAATCCTTAGTACGGATCATGCATGTCATTATTGCCTTATTGCAGAAACCACAAACTGTGTTTCTAAAACAAGAACAGCATTGGGTATCATTTTTTCAGTTTCTCTCTTTTTTTAAAAGATGCACAATGTAACTTTTCCAGTAGAAGGTCTGTCACCTACTTGTCTCCATGGAGATGTTTGGAGATGTTGTTGCTTTGTCTAGAATCTCCCACAGTATGGCATTAAACATATCCATCTAGGTCTGATGTTGAAAAACATACAATCGTATTATGAGCTGTCTCATCTCTCCAGAGATCTCACCAGTATCTTGGCCTGATAGATCCAGTGATGGATGATAATTGGAGATTTAATGCCATACTAGGGAACATTCCAGGCAAATCAATAATATCTCCATGGAGACAAGCAGTTGGCAGACCCTCCCACAGAAAAACTACATAGTGCACATTCAATATGAACCAATCAGAAATGTTTATCACAAAAGCCAAACCATGTTAAAAATATTTTAAATCCAACCACAGGATACTACAATTTCAACAGTACATATACAAATACAACAGTACGTGTCTGAATGTATATAGGACATGAGCTGTAGACACCAGGGGCCTCTTTTCCCAATTGGCTTGAATGATTGAAGACTGAAGCATGGATATAGCACTTACAGTTGTTTCAATGAAAATGTAAAGTTGGTGGTAATTAGAAGGTCAAAGTTCAAGTGCTTTTTTCTGATACATTGAAATGTAAAATTGCAGACTGTAAATGACAGGCCTTACTGTAGCATGTGTGGATATATGGGGCTTTTTCTAATCTTTCTAAACCTGCTTTTGTAACAGCTGCTAAACAAAAGTTATATTTTTTATCATGTCTTCTGTAATCATGTGTTTTAGGCAAAAAGAAAAAAAAATATAATTTTATTTTGTGTATTATGTCTTAACATCGGGCAGTTTTATATGCTAGCAGCCCAAGCATTAAACTATATGACAGTTTGAGTATATTTGATTAACTATGTGCTAGCAGTGAGCGAAAGTGACCTGAGAAAATGTATTTACTCAGTAAGTAGCATTCATATCTTTGTTGATGTTAAACCAGCCTAATCAGAGACGAAGAGCCATGTTATTGCTACTCAACTTTATAGTTTTAAAGTTGCATGTAACTTTTCTGGTTGAGGATCTTGTTTCCATAGAGATGTTATTGTTTTGCCTGGAATATTCCACCCTATGGCATTCAAGGTATCCATCTTGTTTAAAACTGCGAAAATGTACTTTGTAAATTATGGATTCTGTCTTTGATTGGATCCTTCAGGTGTCTGACATTTGCCCTGGTAGTGTCATCTGCTTGTCTCCATGGAGTTTAATGCCATACTTCAGAAAATTCCAGGCGGAGCAATAACATCTCCATGGAGACAGGCTACAGTGTGTTTTTAGGTTTTAGTTTGATTACATCTGAACCTAGATCTTCAGAGTTCCATCTCATCTCAAGCCAATTGAAGCCAAAGTGCGTATTTGACAAAGGTGAATGGCCTGTGATAGTATTAATGCTATCAGTATATAAAATGCCTATGACACTATTCAGTCATAACATGATGACCAGTGCGACAAGCTAGACCACACAGGCAAGCTTAATTTCCCTCCCATATGTAGATCAGAATGGGTCAAATGAAGATGACTGATTTGATAGGGAGAATAAAAAAGGACAACTGTACCTTTCCTTAATTTTTAATACCCATGGAACACAACAAACCCTTTAAAAACTGCAGCTTTGGTAATGTGTTGCATGGGATTCAGGTAAAGAATTCGCTGTGACAATGGTCCTCCATCCATTACTATAGCAATAAAGCAGTTCTAATCCAAAAATGATATCTTTTGAATGGGTAAAGGTCCTAACAAAGTCTTTAAAATCAAGAAGGAACAATTTGCCTGAAACTCATGAATAGCCGAGTTGTCTATTCATCACATTTTAGCACGGTAGCAAGGTAATTTGATTTGTAGTGCATATTTCATTCACAAAACATTTCAGGAGAGGTGTGCTAAAAAAATAAATAAACTTAGAATGCAAATAATTAGCCTTTCTAATTTCCCCATCTTGTAACCCATCAAATAATAATTTATTTTCCATTCATTTAAGCTGGTCATAATGTTATGCCTGCTCAGTGTCTATCATATACCGATTGTATGACTGTGGATTTGATATATCTGTGTATTGTAAACTAGAGGGCAAAAAAGTCTTGCTATACTTTGATGACTGTTGCTCGCGGTGGGGATCTTTTTAATTAAACTGTAAAATTTTGAATGAAACTTTTGCTTGTAACCTAAAAAGGATCAGTGGACTTAAATGATGTAAAACAAGTTCAATTTGTGGAATGTCCATATTTCTTACTAAATGGTTTTATACAAATGTTTTTATGAGTGTAGCTTTGGGATTTTTATTATATTTGTTTGCAATCATCAGTGCTTCTTCTAATATTCACTGCTTTATTGTTTGTTTTAAAAATTAATTTTTAAGGATTATAATAAGTTTAAGAGAGTATTTTGTTTAATCTCTTGATATAATGTATTCATGTGGGTCTGGGATTATGGCTGTTCTGAATTGTTACTGGGGTAAAACAAATAAAAGGTAGATTGGTTAAAAAAAAAAAGTCTCCCAACTGTATTTTTTATTAAAAATTACAACTTTTTTTATTTGTTGTCCCTGTAGTTTGGACCTCTACAAGGAAGTCTCATGTGAGAACTGAATTAGTTAAACTGTTCATATTTCTTTTCTCAAACATTATTGGAGTTCTTCACACTGAGCACTTTGAACAGAATCCTTTTAATTCAGTCAATGGTAAATCAAGGTCATAACCCGGTTTACTATATCTTGTGCACAATTTAAAAAATAATTCTTTAGCCTTCCATCTCTAAAAACAGGAGTCTTTTGGCCACACCCTCTTCACCATATTTGGTCAGCAGTTCCTGTCGTACTTCCTGGTCCGTGGAATGCAAACGCTGGTCATCAGTGCAAGTCCAGATCGGTCCAGAGAAAGAGGACGGGTTCTGGAGGATCTTATAGGCCAAAAACAGGTCTCCACTGGCCTTCAGCAGGGCTTTGGTCACATTGAATAAGTTCTGAAGAATTGAGGTGAGACACAATTAGTCACTTGATTTCTATATACAGAAATGAAAGATTAAATTAAATTGTATTAGTTTATCAGTTCATATTTCAGTCTTCTCTCAAATGTTAATGCTTCAGAACCTGTTTACAATGAGCATTCTGAAGATAATTCTACTTTTAACAAATCTAGTCGCAATTGCGACACTTTTACAATTACATATTTTTTTCCGGAATCAAACAGCCCTACAGCCCTAGATTCTAGATTAAGTGTACATATGCACAAATGAAAGATTTAAATCTGGAATTAGGAACATGATGCTGAAAACATGAGAATGCATCAGTTGAATGGTCAAAATAATGAACAAATAGTTTAACTGATTAATGATTATTAATGATGATGAGTTTTAACTAGTCACATCACAGAAAATCTGCAAAAACTAATCATCAGTAAAATGCATAATTGAAAGTTGACAACAAATATTTCTATTTTCATTTTTAATCAGCTAATTTGTTATTTTGGCAGCATTTTTTTTATAATCTGTATTATATTAAAGGTGCATTGTGTAACTTTTCTGGCAGAGGGTCCGCCACCTGCTTGTCTCCATGGAGATATTGCCTTGATTATTCCACAGTATGGAAATAAATAATCACAACGGAGACAGATTAATAGTAAGATCTATGGAATAGCAAGCCTGCGCATGGTAAGAATTCATTAATGTATTTTTGAGCCATAAAACACATGTAATGAAACAAATGCAAGAGAGATATGTTTAATGCCCTACTGTGGAGCATTCCTGGAAAAGAAATAACATCTCCATGGAGGCAAGGAAGTTGCAAACCCTCCACCTTAGAAGTTACATAGAGCACCTTGTACAGTCCCTGACAAAAGTCTTGTCGCTTATCCATTTTGTAGAAACAAAAGCTTATAACCTGACTTTAAATTAATCGATTGGTTTTAGAAATGTCTCATATGAAAGCTAAAACCCTCCCAAATTATGCTCAATATACTAAAATAAATTTGCTTTGCTGAAGAAAGATTGATCTTTTAATGAACACAGAAAGGTCAGATTTTGGCAAGACAAAAGTTTTGTCGCCTACAGAAAATTGAACAAATAATTTACTTCAAATACAAAAATATGTTGCGCAACGTCAGTGAATGAAGTAGTGGTGCTGTGAGATCCTTATTTAATATCTTGTATGACTTCTATGAGCTTGAAGGACACATCCACGCGGTCGACAATGATTCATACAATTTGTTGATGAAGTCATCAGGAATAGCAAAGAAAGCGTCTTACATGTCTCCCAGAGTTCATCAAGATTCTTTGGTTTTGCCTTCCATGCTTCCTCTTTCATTCTACCCCAGACATTTTCAATGATGTTCATGTCTGGTGACTGGGCTGGCCAGTCCTGGAGCACCTTGATCTTCTTCGCCTTGAGAAACTTTGATGTAGAGATAGAAGTATGCAATGGAGCACCATCCTGCTGCAAAATTTGACCCTTTTATGGTTGGGAATGTAAGAGGAGCTAATACTTGTTGATATTTTAGGCTATTGATATTGCCTTCCACCCTGCAAATGCCTCGCACACCCCCATACTGGATGGAACCCCAGACCATGATTTTTCCACCACCAAACTTAACTGTTTTCTGGGTGAATCTTGGATCCATGTGGCTCCAGTAGGTCTCCTGCAATATTTGCGGTGGCTGTGATGTAATTCAACCGAGGATTCATCTGAGAAATCCACCTTCTGCCACTTTTCCAGTGTCCATCCTTTTAGCAGGCAGTGGGCCTTCGCAAATGCCACACGGTTTATTAATTGCCTTTCGTTTAGTGCTGGTTTCTGTGCACTGATTCGACCATGGAGGCCATTTCGAGACAGAATTCTACAAACTGTTGTGGTTGACACAGGGACTTGAGGTGACCAGGCCTGGTGGAGTCTGCTGCAGTGGAAAAGGGGCTGGCCTTGGATTTTCGAATCAACAAACGGTCCTCCCGAGCAGTTGTCTTGCGGGGTCTGCCGGACCTGGGCTTGTCAAAAACATCTCCAGTCATTTCAGATCTTTTTCTTATTCTTTGTACTTGACGCTGAGACACATTGAAGGTGTCAGCCACCTCAGAAGTGGATCTGGTCTTCAGCCTCTTGATAATTAACGCTTTGGTCTCAGGGTGGATCTTAGGCATGTTGTCAGAGGTCAAGTTGCAGTTAATGTGAAGGTCTGGTGTGCTGGGGTTCTTTTTATACACACCCACTAATTGATTGATCAGTAACTGATCACAGGTGAGGCTGTAATCTAGGATTGGGTGCATCATATGACAAGGCCACAAGACTTTTGTCTTGCCAAAATCTGACCTTTCTGTGTTCATTAAATGATCAATCTTTCTTCAGTGAAGCAAATTTATTTTAGTATATTGAGCATAATTTGGGAGGGTTTTAGCTTTCATATGAGACATTTCTAAAACCAATCGATTCATTTAAAGTCAGATTATAAGATTTTGTTTCTACAAAATGGATAAGCGACAAGACTTTTGTCAGGGACTGTATGTTGCATATCTTCAAAACAGTAATAACCCATATTATCCATCTTGCAATTATCACCGCACCTCAAAATGACTGTCTATATATCAAATGTCTACATTTAAACCAACACCTACTACACCCATGTTACTTCTCTCTTACCTGATTGGTGTGTTTCATGAAGTCTCTGAGCAGCTGCACGTCTTCCTCCTGTTGATCCTGCGTCAGAGATGGGCCGTTTTTCTGTTCATTTGTTTGAACAGCAGAGGGCGAATGAGAGCCAACAAGAGACTGGGAGTCCTCCTCCAACTCCTGCGATTCACTTTCAAAAATAAATAGATGGGCCTTTGATAACACCTGCTCAGTTACCGAAGGATGGCCCCTTGTGGTCACCTGTGGTACTGCCGTATTAGCAGTGCTGGCATTATTAGTGGCAGGAGTGGCAGTAGTAATAGCAACAGAAGCAGTAGTATTAGTATTTGTGGTGGGTTGGGGATTTTGCTCAGCTCGTGTGTTGCCTGGATCTTTTTCTTGATTTAAAGTAGATGGATCTCCAGAGTTTGAAGAACCTATAACTGCTTCTATGGATGTGCTTGGTCTTGCTGTTTCATATGAAAGATCAGAATCAGACTGAGGAAAAAAGGATGAGATTGTAGTTATTGTACTCAGTTATTGTATGTGTAAACTGTATGTATCCTAGACAAATGTATAGTAAATAAAAATAGACTAAATCAATATTTTGCTAAAGGTTACAGGAGGCAGGAAAATAAGGAATTAAGACAACGGTGGCCAAGTTGTTATTGCAATATAATATAAATTTTTCCACAGCAATATTACCTCAGTATCATCTTCAAATTCTTTTGTAGCCATCTCCAGAATGCCTAGTTTCCTCTTCACTTTCTTCTTTGAAGGTTGAAGTGCAGGGCAATTTCCTTCATCTAAACAGAATCCATATATTACATGAGGCTCAAGAACTTCACGTAAGCACAAACATTTTTTATTTAAAATTTAAGATTATACCTGTGTGGGTTACTTTGGATTGTCCACTTTCACTTTCCTGTTGCATTTGCTCTGTTATATTGGGCTCAGTTTCTCGCCGGACCTTTTTGGGTGGTGATTGGTCTTTTCTTTGATCTTTTTGGGGACTAGAAACTTGTAAGTGTAATTTTTGTTTACATTGCTGTATGTGATATGTGATATTTTCGAACTCATCTTGCTCTCTTGTTACAGGACAGTTAACTGAATTTGGTAATTTGTCATTTGAGTTTAAGATGTTTTTTGCAGTAGTTTCTATTGGACCATCTTTTTCAGTAGTAGTGCCGTCAGGCAGCAGTAATTCTGGGATCTCGTCTGTTTCAGATTTGGAAGTCTCCATTGAATCACGTGTCTCACTGTCATGGCATTTGGCTGGTTCTACATTTGCCTGTTCCTCTTGAGAGTCAGAGGACTGGGAAATCTGTACAAATAAATAATGCATTTATTTTACTAATAAAAAAAAAAAAAAAGTAAAATCTATGTATTTATTATCCAGATGAGCATATTCTGCAAGAAATATCTTACAAACTAGTTTGGATTACGCTGCTGTTTGTTTATTATTTAAAATGTTTTATTGGCTCTTTTTTAATATGAACACTAATTTAAAGTTTGAAACCATATGAGTCATGAGGACTGTATAACTTGGGCACTGTGTGTAGTGTTGATCGATTACTGAAATTATTATTGATATTATTATTCATTATTAGGATCATAATTGACATCACAATTATTTCAAATGATCACTTCTCAACTATCACAATTTACTTGTTGGTATAGTAAACATCTAGTGTTTAGTGATACCTGTGTTAGGTCCATCTCTGCTGAAATGTTCTCAAGATCCATGACCTCAGCTTGGATTTTTTGAGGAGATGCTTTATTCTCAGGTTCAATTTGATCTGCATTTTGTGTTTTGTTTTTCTGAGAACAAAAACACAAAAAAATGTAATTTTAGACTTACTGGTATAAAAAAGTGAATACAGATACATTTTAAATGATGCATTTACTAGTCTCAAATCTTAATAAAACAAAATACTTTAGGACTACATTTGCATCACATTTGAGTTTTTGTATACAAAGATAATACATTTTAATTTTAGACTCTATTAGTTAAAAAATAACTAACTACTTTCAAAAGAAAGTACTAAGGATGTTGCGTTAGCTGTAAATAACTTTATGATATACAGATATATCATACAAATCATACATTTTGTTCTACAGCGGCAATAAATATATTCTAATTATAGTCCAAAATAAAAAACAGGTCAGCACACCTTTGCCGAGTCTGTCCGTTTGAACTCTGACAGTCTGGGCGCTAGCTGGACTCTGTAGCGATATTTCATGGATTGCCAACTGTGGCTGGTAAGTGTTTTTTTGGCCATCTCCTGCCACAGCTTGTTACCTCCAATTTCACTCTCATGTTTGCTCACGTAACTCAGAATAGCATCATCTTCCTCTGCAGTGTAGGCAGATCTTCCTGTTCACACCAAAATTACATTATGTAAATTACGCCAAGAACATGAAACTGCTGGGTGTGAAAATGACGGAAAGGTTTGAAATTAAACTTAAACTTGCATATGTGTAATTTAGCTTAATCATATTGCTCCTTTATAAATACAATGACAAACTGAATTTTTCGTTTTGCTACATTTTACATTTTATTTAAATCATCTTGAATTTTGGTCTTCATAACTTTCAGCTGTTTGGAAATCATTAATTAATAAATTATTCCATAACATGAAAACAAATTACCATTCATACTGTTACAATTTAATACAGAATCTAAGTTAATGTAAAACTATTAAAAGTTGTCACCATACCTCCTGTAATGGCAGGAGAGCCGACTTTGCTGTTAGATTTTTTTTTTGTTTTTCTTGAGTTTGTAGATTCTGGATTCAGTCTGTACTCTTCCATATTCAGCCTTTTATTCTTCTCAATACAATCCTGAATGTACTTCGTTGACACATACCTGAAAGGCAAACAAACATACACATTATTCTTCTTAAGCAGCTTTGTCTTTATATTTCTCCAAATGTTTGTAAAAATTGATTAGCCAACAATAACACTGATCTATATTATATGCAAATAATACTTTGACTCAACATGTGGTATGAAAACATTCTTTTATTAAATTTATATAATTTGTATTTATTATTGCACACATTTTAACGCACTGGTGGAATCCTAAAGGCTAGAATTTCTATGTTATATTAAAATAATTAATATAATTCCCAAACGTTGACCCTTGTTAGATCATAATCATACTTTACGGTTTTAGTATCTCACTGTTATAAGCACATCACAAAAATGTATTATAATCAAAAATTGCCCCAATCGTGTTTATTATTTCTAAGGTCAACCATATGTGGTAATTGTTGTGCAGTCATATAACATTATAAAAAGATGTTAGTTATAACATTTGTTACTGAATCTCAAAGAGACAGTACCCACCAGTGAGCAATACGTTCTGGAATAGACGCCCCGTCCTCTGGGTCTCTGAGCATGATGGTGCCTGGTTTTTGGAAATTACAGAGCAGACCTCCTCCGGCTTTGATGAGTGGCAGCAGCTCTTGTTTCATGGGGCCTGGGCGCAAATAGAAGCTCAGTGGTTCCCCCTCTTCACTCACAAACAGGGTCTTGGGCTGTGTCACAGCATTACTTTTGGATGACATGGTGTTTCATGTATCCTACAAAGATATACATGAGAAGATTGAGAAATCCAGCTATTAATGGGCTTAGTTAGTTCTAGTTTCAGCCCACCCACGTCCACAGCCAAAATTACAGTTAATACATGGTACAATTCTTTTGGACATTTTGTAGGGATATTCCATAGAAATGAAAGTGACTTAAATACAAATTCAATAAAGCTTGCAAAATAATATGACATAAATATGAGAGTTTATGTAGTTTTTGTAGGATTTTACAATAAAGTTTTGTGCCTGCTTAGTTCAATGGCACCAAACGTTAGGAATTTAAGAAAAAGCCATTCAATCTAGTGTTGTCAGTAGTAGGATATGTAGCACTGTTCAAAACCTACTTGTTACTTGTCATGCTAACAGTCTGTGGCTTGTTCAAGAGGAGATCTCAAACATGTAGGCTAACTTTTTGTGTGAAGTTGGTTTAAAAAATTATAATAATAATGATATGTCATTATTCTGGGCCAACGTCACCTACACTAAAGCTGCAGTGTTTCGTGTTGTAATTCCAATATTGATTATGTAAAGAAATAAAAACGTAGATATAACCTTATTTGATGCAACAACACTTCGCACGACCGCCAAAAGCAAAACAAACGCTGCTTCTGGTATCTTTCTTCTTCGTGATGTAATGGCTGGACGCATGTGGAGAGTGCTCAACAGCGACATGGTTCTTAGCGGTAAGAGCAGGCGCAGGTGTTTTTACTCACCCCAAAAGTGGTAAAATCGTGTATGAAAAATCCATATTATTGTATTACATTTATGTCAGTCTTTTTATTCAGTGAAATAATAATACAAAATGCACAATCATATAAATATATAATACCATGTATGCTTTCTTATAAATAGGCAGTGCATCTTGCCCAGAGTTCTTCAGTCATGTCTCCAGCCTTTTCCTCTGATGAGCTCCTTTACAAAACAAAACTGAGAAACTATAAGAGTCATGGCAAGCCTTAGATGGAGTACAGTTAAATGCCTATAAAACATAAACCTTTATCCATTATTTATTACTGCAGAAGTTAGAAATCAAAATTATACATTTACAATGATAAATAAGATTTAGATTTAGTTATTAAGAACAATACACATAATTCAGAAATCCCCTGGCAAGCTACATGGAAAGGGTCAGAGAGCTAGTTGCTCCCAAGCCACAGATTGGAGATCCCTGGTCTAGCCTATATAAGAATAGACAAATTAACTATACCCTCCTAAAAAAAAATTGAGGCGTTAATTAATAACGCTGCTGTTAGGCCCTATGTTGTGTAAAATTGACTCTTGTGAGCTTATCTTATCAAAAACATACCTGGACTTCAGATTAGTTTTGTTTATATATGGTTATGTAACCCTTTATTTAGTCTGTCTACATCTCCAAACCTCAAAATTCTCATTTCTACCCTGTGATGTCATGTAGTGGTAGTTAAGTTAACTTGTACCTTTTTCCTTTTTTCAGTGAAATTGTTAATTCTAAGGTTGAAATTGTCAATATGATTCTAGAGAAGGTGTAACCACATGACATCACAAGACACAACAGTGTCATTGTATCTTTATTATTACATAATTCATTCATTATATCTATATGAAAGGTTTTCATTCTGCACTCTTCTCACTAATTTATGTCTCTCTTTTTAAATTTTAATCTTTATGATTATTTATGTTTTGATTTGTTTTTATTATGATTTTAATGCATTTGTTATTCTGTAAAGCACTTTGAATTACTTTGTGTACGAATTGTGCTATACAAATAAACTTGCCTTGCCTATATGTATATATAGTATATATAGTATCTATATCTATCTATCTATCTCTCTCTCCATATATATACACACACAGACACACAGACACACACCACACACACACACACACACATAAATGTATATATACATATGTGTGTGTGTGTGTGTATATATATATATATATATATATATATATATATATATATATATATATATATATATATATATATATATATATATATATATATATATATATATATATATATATTATATTTATTTTTTTTTTTATTTTTTTTTTATCAATACAAACCTTGGTTCTAACATTTCTTCCTAAGATTAATTTACTTCTGGTGCAAGACTACACATGCTTATGAATAATCACTAAAGTTCAAATACACACACTCATTTTATATTAGTAATTCTGTCTTCAGTGTTCAACCTCTTCGGCAGCTCTATTATTTCTGGCCTCTTCAGTTTTGTGTGAAAACAGTGGGGCAGCTGCTGTGTTTTATAGTTGACAGTCTGCATTGTAAATTAAAGTGATGGCAGTAAATGTATTCTAGGGTGCTGAAAGCGCTTCTGTGATCCATATTACTTATATTTCCTATGTTTACATTGATTATAAGCCTCCTTCTTTTTCTCAATCAGCATGAGGAAACTGGTGGGAGGACTGTTGCAACTTTAAGTGTAAGGCCAGTAGAGGGCGCCATCACATTTTCTGAATGTTCTTTAAACGGGCATCTGAAGGGTCAATGGTCAAGACACACACTTATCTTTGCGATATGTTTTACGAGTTGTTAGTTGTTGGTCTTATATTTATTCCTGGGATTCGAATGATATCACAACATTCTATAGGCCGATAATCTATAATCCAGATGAGAACAGGTAAAACTGACATAGGCCTATTAAAATGCACTTAATTGTCTAGTCCTTAATAGAAATGATCAGGTTCAACATTTGTGAATTAACCTTTTGGATATCTTATTTCACAGCAAGGTTTGAAGTAATCAATTGGAAAATTTGGTTCTTGCCCCCGTCTGGCAATATGACTTCATCACATTTTAGGAAATCACCAGTAGTGGACAGGCAAAAATAAAATAGTTAAGTTCAGTGGTTCCCAAATTGGGGTCTGGGTACTCCTGGGGCATGGCAGGAGCATTGGGGGGGCTCCCCCCAAAGGTTATCTACACAACAAGCAAGAAGGAAAATTGAGTTTTAAAACATAAGATATTTGTTTATATATATCCTTTTTATCCTACTGTATATTTTATTATATTAATATTAAGGTCACAGGAATGTGTTGTTTTAACATATTATCTAGGCAGAAAACATTAAATATTCTTTTACATGTAGTGTAAAATCTTAGAGGGGCCTTATGAGATCTTTGCATTGATGGGGCAGTGGAACAACTTTGGGAATTGCTGGTATAGCTCAGATTTGATTGGTATCTACATCAAAGGTAACTAAGGTACTAAGGTAACTTTGGTGGTTGCCTCCCTGCTATCTACATGAAGACATATTTGTCTTTATTTATTGCAGTAAAAATACTCATGATGTCATGCATATACTGTGGAACATTCCAGGAAAGGCAAAAACATATCTATTGAGAAAAACAGGTGGCAGACCCTCCACCAGAAATGTTAGCCTATGGGGCTCAACATTGACCGCCCAGAGGAATGAGAGTACATTTTTCATTCATCTTTCCCATAGACTACATTAAAAGTCTGAAAGTTTGGTCAGGTAAATCAGCGATGTGGTAAATAATGAGAAGATGACCTATAATTTTATTTAAAATCTGTTTCTGAAACTTATAAACCACAAAGTTATTAAAGCATTTGCTGAATTTTGCGTTTTAAATTTGCTTTTTGGACTTAAAACAACTGGGTAGCTTCCTTTGAACTCTTTGAACCCTTAATAATCGACTTCCGGAACCTGGGCAGGCAGTCACATGTTGAGCTCTATAGTGCAGTACAGTGCACCTTTAAACAATAGACTCATTGACAACAATAGACCAGTAGTTAACCAAATATAGGAATGGAGTTATAATTACATATTTGGTCATGAGTCCAACATCACAGGACATCATTTATTGTCTCAGCACAAGATACTGAATGGCACTGACAAATCAATTACAAGTATATGACAGCAGGTACAGGCCAGGTTTAGTGAGTCACTGTCTTTTTCTCTGAAGATAAGTAAAAGTTTTAAGTAGGCATAATTATCACCCACATATGGAAACAATTTCATTCAGCATTTTGAGCTGATGTAATGTCAGGTGACAATTTGAAAAGAGTGAGTCACATGCAAACCATTCTTTTCACAATGCTCACATGATGTATCTTTAAGAATTTAGTGGAAGAAAAAACACTCACAAAAACTGTTATATATGAAACTGTAATTATGGGTATTACAGTTAGGTTAACTAAACAAACCTTGTTTCATAATGCATTACTCATCACATTAGTCACGTCACATGATCTAGATTGTCACAGTGTCAAATGCAAACACCGGTCAGCTTTAAAGTATTATACAAGTTGAATAACTGGGAATCTCCCCACAGGTAACGCTGACCTATTTTAATTTAAGTTAGACAATAGCAAAGGCTTTGTAATTTCCCTTATGGATTAGTAAAGTTAGTTTGACTTTAGTAGTTTTGTCTGTGTTATCCTTCAGTTGTCCAGGTAGGTTCTGTAGCAAAATAATAATAATAAAAAAGCTGAAGACATTTCGCTCATCATCATGTTTTTTTTTTTTCTCCAATTCACCTAGTGTCCAAGTCTGTAATATGGATTTGTATTTCTGAGGAAAGTAAGAATGTGTATTGTGAAAAAGCCTCAGCTCTAGTATATTCCCACATGTTTCGCTTTACTCTGGAAAAACAATACCTAAACACATGCAGGTGCACTTTTACTTTTCCTCCCACATATTCAGGATAAAAGCTCATACTTGTGCTTGTAGGGAAGTGGGTCAAATGCAGAGATTCACAGTTACATTAAGAGCTACAGAATCAACAAAATATTCAAAAATACAAAGGAATAGGGTTGGAATAGGGTTCCTTGTATGTATGTTTTTTGAATTGCGTTGTCATAATGGCTTCTGAACTAGTTTGTTTGAGAGCATTGACCTGTAGTTTCTCACGATGAGCTTCTAGTCATTCAGGATCGATCCAGCGCTCACACCACAAATATATTTACAGTCTATGGACACCAAAGGTAAGACAAGTGCAGACAAATACAGGTCTCTAAAGTTCACCTGCTAGAAAAAAAAAAAAAAAAAGATTTTTACTGCCACTAGCGTTCCTAGAGTTATGTCAATGATCAATACACTTAGTTACTCAGTTTAGAGCTATTACTTCTACAAATACTGCTACTCCTCTTCCTACTATTGCAGCTGTAGTACTACTACTACAACTTCTGGCCTAACCCAAGAAAAGGAAGGTTTATTTGTGTTACACAGCTTGCTCACAAAGTAATTCAAAGTGCTTTACAACCCACTGGTATCAGCCCTATCAGAAAACCAGGGAAGTCTGTCACTAGGGCATTTGAAAGTTCAGGTCACCAGAGTTTACTCAATATTTCTATATATATTATCAGAAAAATGCTATAATTACAAGTATTGCTATTTGTACTTCTACTGCTGCTAAAACTATTTCTACTGCTTTGGTTCTTGGTTCACAGAGCCCACTTGAGTGGTTGGTTCAGAGAGTCCACTTGTTGATGTAATCGCTACAAAACACCTCTCAAAGAATTATCATATACATTTTTATTTTTTATCTGAAATGTAGTAAAATAGAGTGTGGAAGTGACTAAAGTAACCTATTATTACCTAATACCTAAATGACATAACCATGACCTAGTTGTGTCAAAACAATTATCCAATCAAAAAGCAGAATGATCCTCACGAGTCTCTCATTTGGGTTGCCAGTTCCAAGGTCTATATCCAGTTTGTTTAAAGATAAAAGGACACTCCTTGATTTGAATCCTCTCTGCCTAAACTCTAGCACCAGCAGCCAATCATTAATGAGTGCTAGTGCAGCCTCTGCAACTCATGAAACATGGCCTGTACATATACTAGAGTATCAACATTATTATGACTTCTACTATTGAATGTAAGTTTATACTGGTTTAATCTATACTGATTTTCCAGAGATTTATATGCTCCAACAAATGCACGCTTCATGCATACTTCAAGAATAAGACAAAATGTTAGAAAATATTTTATTTACAACACAAGTTATCCATACAATTGCATTTGAGTAATCCCTTTTTGTCACATAAAATAGATTAAGCAAACACTTTATAATCTTTAAATGCTTTGTTATGATTATCTATACAAAATATAACATTATACCTGATATGTGTACAATATAAGATTCTTCACAAGGCACAATATGGCTTATAACATGTTACAGTAATGTGCGTCTCACAGTTTTAGGTGACTCAGAAATATGCTATGATCAGATAGTTATGGGAGCAGATTATGTGATAAACTGTCTCTGCTGCCATTCAGTGCACCGGGTTCAAATAAGGCACATCGAATATAATGTTTCTCTATGACACTTGTAACGCAACATACAGTAGACACAAGCTGCTTAGACAACACACACGGCCATGTGCGTCTAATATTCACAGTTAAAGCAAAGTCATGATTTTTCACCTTTTTGGAACAACCAATCAAAAAGCCCCATGTCTTTATTAGACTCCAAACCAGTTGCATAGATGTAGTAATTAGAACAACATGAACAAAATAGTGATGGTTTTCAAGCAAAATATTGTTAAATACTGTGACAAACCTGGTAGTTATTTGTAAGGGATGGCTTGCTTACACTTAAATTTTTAAATCTTTTGTGTACTCCCTATAACAAAATCACACCAAGTTGCTTTTTTTTTTTTTTGCCACAGGAATATAAAAAAATTAAAAACAACACAGTTGCATAGTGATTTGGCAGATTTTTTTTTTTGTAAAATGCCCTTCTGGTCGTAACCAGATTAATAAGGGGGGGGGGGGGGTCCAGTGTCTTGCACGAGGACACAATAGCAGTATGTAATTGTAATGGGCATCAACCAACATTTGTTTTTTATTCCTTAACCAATACACAGTTGCCACCCCCATAAGGTACTGGCTGAGTAAAGTAAGTAAAAAATCCTTTCTCGGTTTTCTTTTCGAAAACCCACAAGCAAACATGGCATTAAGGGAATATAAAAGTTGCAGTTTATCAAAAGTATGTAACACACCGATGGTAATGTACTTGTTGTTCAATGTTGCACTTGAAGTCACTGATTTGATGCCTCCTTTAATCCCTTTCATTCAATTTACTTCAGTCAAGATGTCAGTCGGATCTCCTCCCTTTTGGTCCCATTTTAAAAACATGTCCATCGCACTTACAGTATGTTAGAAAAAAGCTGCGTTCACACTAGTCCTGGTTTGTTAGTCTTGATGTTGACTTGTTTTGGACTTGTTCTAGGTTCTAGCTGTGGTTTAGTCATGATCTAGTCCAGGTTTATTTCCAGGTTAAGTCCCAGTTTAGACCCAATTTGCACAGGTGCACTATGTAACTTTTCTGGTTACAGAAACCTGCTGTCCCCAAATGGATATTAGTGCCTTTTATAGTACGTTCCACAGTATGACACTGATTATAACTACCTCCGCAGACACAAGCAAATGGCACAACCAAGTGAAGTTACAGATGATGGAGAGGGGACCCTGCTTACAACTGATGTGCAGGTCGACCTGTAACCCATGGGTCCCGTGGGTCCCGCGGGGTGGGGCAGGCTCAAAAAGAAGAAGTAAAGTGGGTGCAGGTAGGTCAGGTCCCATCATAGCCTCATCTAAATCATGTTCTGTAGCTCTGATGAACAAATGAGGGCATAGAGTTTTCGTGTTTGCATGTGTTACCTGCACAAAGAGGACACCTTTAATCTTTATACAATGAACGCCAAATGAAAACAGAGAGAGACGCCAAAAGGTGCATGGTCTCCTGTGAACACGGAGCTGGCATGTTATGAACAGTTTTATAGTTACGCATTAAAACTACACAAACAATACTCCAGAGTGAATGAAGCACGAATCACACACACCAACACGGTGCGAAAACAAAGCTCCTCTCCTGGACGCAGACATTCTCAGCATGCACATGCTGCGTCAGGTAGGGTCCATGCTCCACGATCCAGGTGCTTTAATCCCAAACTCCACTAAAAGCTTCTAGTGGGGTGCCAGTTGAAAAAACTGTTGTTGTGTCCTTAGGTAAGGCACTTCACCCACATTGCCTCGTATAAAACTGGTGTGTGCATGAGAGATGGCAGTGGTCAGAGGGGCTGATGGAGCAGATTGGCAGCCTTGCTTCCGTCAGTCTGCCCCAGCGCAGCTGTGGCTTCAATAGTAGCTTACCACCACGTGTGGAGTGAATTAATAATTCTGTGTAAAAACATCTTTGTGACATATGTTTGTGAAAAGCACTATACAAATAAAAAACTTACTTACATCTGTGACTACTATATCCTGTGAGTGCGTAGGCCATTTCAAACAGGTCCTTAACAGTGCACTTGAGTGTAAATAGTAAAATGAAGACTGATTTAACAAGTTACGCAAACAAAACTGCGCATTCGCAAGGCACACCCCTCCAGATACGACACATTTGTTTTAATATGTGCGGATTTGGGTAGGGTCGAGTCATTTCTTCAGGTCAAGTGGGGCAGAAAAAAAAAGCGAATTCACTATTGCTCACAGTAGGAATGCATGTTTTTCAAGGTATTCTTTACATACAAGATGAAAAATAACTTTAATGCTATACCGTGGAACAGTCAAGGCAAATTAAAAACATTTTTATGGTGACAGCAGATGGCAGATCCCCAACTAGAAAAGTTACACCGTGCACTTTAATGTGTGTGAACGCAGCCAAAGACTCTAGTAGAGGTCCTTCATTATCTCCTGGAGCAGAGGATGCAGACACATGTCCACCTCGCTCTTCTTGAGGAGCTGGATGAGGTGCACGTGGTCGGTGACGATCTGGCGCAGGTCAGTCATCTTCTGGAGCAGTTTGGCAAACAGCTGCAGGGACTCGGGGTGGTTCATTTTGAGCTGCAGCTCCAGAGAATGCAGCACTGTCTCCTGTAGCTGTTCTATGGGCTTCACGTTCAACAGGCCCGGCCGGTCTGCAGGAAAATAACAGTGGAAATACTATAATAACAACAGTAATTACACTGTCTGACTAATATTGCTTAGTGTATGGCTGGTTTCAGCTTCCTATTATATGGTGCCATTTTGAGAATTGACTGATTGATTGATTTTGATCTTATGACAGTAGTTACAGGTATACAATATTTACAGCTACATGGTAAAAGTCAACATAATAGATGTTTTGTTTTCTCACATAGCTGTACATACATGCAGACACGCCTAGATATTCACAATACAAGAATTATTGACCATTTAGTTTAATTGTTAATTACTATGTCAATTAACTTGTCATCATTCTGAAACCCATGGATAATTATTTTAGCAATAATGTATTGTACAGAATTATATATTCTTTCTGCACTCTTATTAAGTATAAAACCTGCCTAACTTACAGTTTAAACACCTACAAACCTGAAATGTAAATGATTCATATATTAGTTTAGCAGTTATTTCATTGTACTCTCAACCTTAAATGCACCTGAATATGTTTAAAATAGCGTTTTAACAATATGGGTTTAGCAGACCAATGCAGACTGGTGGTCAATATGGTGAATCAATCAGATAGGTGGATTTAAAATAAGTTTGACTATACAATCACAACAAGTAGTTGTATAGCTTGAACCAGCCCGATCTATGGCAATACTACAGTCCTCTTTCCCTACAACTTTATAAAAGAGCAGTGCCCAATGTGTACTAAAGTTGTCAAATACAACTTTGTACCTCGATGAGTCTTATGTCATCAGTATATAGTAGTATAAATAGACATAAGATTTCTCAAAGAAAACAAACCAATCAGTGCGGTGAGTGACAATGTATGTGTTGACACTGAGTCCATTCTTTTTTATGGTGTAACCTCCAAATGTAAATGTTGCTGTTTGTAGAAGATCACTTATCTCTTGTTATGGCCTTAATCTCATCAATTACGTTAATAATCCACCTCAATGTCCGACATCTCTCCTGCCTGGGTCAAGGCTGCACTTTGACTACACTTTAATCAACATGACTAGGCATTTGGAGCTTTATATAATATCAAGAAAGACCACTTATAAATCCTATACCAATGCGAAATTAATTGCGTATTAAATGAGACAGGATACAATTGGTTATTTGAAGAAAAGATGATACTCTACTGCTGTCAGATGACCCTGATAACTGAGTCAAGGCTGGCCATCGCGTGCAAGAAGCCTCTATGCTTCTGTGATTGATTAAACACTCAATAGAAACTGAGTGCTAAGAAACTTATCAGTATAGTAACAATAAATTATGACCAATATGTTAAAGAGTGTGATAAGCCATTTACATCATAATTTAAGACAAACAGACACTTTGACTGAGTTAATTTCACTAATGCATCTACTACTAAAAGGTTTATGTTACTGGTAATTACAAAATTATTTGTGTTAGCATGATAAGAAGAGACGAGTAATTGGCTTTATGTTGACAGTATAAAATGCTCTTCCAGATATGATTATTAATTTTTTTTTTTTTCAATTTTTGTGGTCTGTCCTGTAATACTTTTAACTTCAAAACCATACTTGAGAACATTTTACTAAACCAGAAACTATAACCATATAGAGACAAGCCGGTGGAGCTCTTCCACCAGGCCCAATTAGAGTCAGGTTTGTGGAGACGCAAGCTCATACACAGACAGGAAGCATTAAAACATCCAAAGTCTAATCTATGGTTTGGGTAAATGGTTAAGCAATAGTGCTTTGGCTTCCAATTATAAACCATATGTTAAATCTAGATAGAGAACTCTTACAATTACTTGAGAGGATTTCCAAAATACTTTTCACTCTTACTTGAAACATTTCTTGGACTATTATTTATAATATTATTTTGAAGTAACTGTATTTTTATTGGAGTAAATGTTTTGGCAACCCTACCCACCCCTAACTGTATAACATATTGTGCAGCCGTATTCATGTTTCCCTGAGCTTTTTTTTCTTTACATTTATTGCATATATACATACAAATTCTTAAAAAAATAAATACAAAAAACAGAGATTTGTGTCAGGAACAGAGTATAGATTTTTAAAGAACAATTTGAGATTTCTTGAGAATTATCTGATATTTCAATTTAGAGTTTATAAATACTATTTACATTTACATGTTTCCCTGACCTGTACCCACCTCCGCTGAGGATGATGACAGCGAGGAAGAGGGCCATATCGCTGTCATCCAGCTCTAACATGTTAAACTTGACGGAGAACTCAAACTTGGGCTCCATCATGTGACAGAAGGGCTTTCTCAGGCTCTTCAGGAATTCTCGCGTCATGAAAATGTGTCCATACGAAATCAGGGTCCCGTCTTTGTTCATCAGAGGAGCCATCATGATGATCAGCACCTCGATCACGCCATATTTCAGCAACGTCACCTAAGACAAAATCAAATACAAATATATCTAGATGTTAGTTTTTAAGATTGCTTCTATATGGACCACTTTGGAAACTGTCTTGTATAAAAAGTGTGTTATGCATATTGGATTAGATCGGAAAATATGTGTATGAGAATATGTATGAGAACAAACATTGTGCAGTCAACCCAAAATATCTCTCAAGTGATGAGAATGTTTTTTTCCACTATCCTTAATTATGTCTGACTAAATGTACAGCTTTAAATATGGAAATTAAAATTATTATCAAATTATTTAACTATTATTTGTCAGTTATTTTAATTTATATCTGTGTCAATGTACATATAAACACTGACCAACACAAAAGAGGAAATATATTTGTGCCATTTGTGTGTAAGTAACTTGCTGTTTTTCACCTGCAGTCCTGACATGTTGATGTACAAAGTCCATACTGGTAGTTAGTCAGTTAACACTAGCCTGTTATTGGTAGTAGTTTACTACTAGCCAATAAAGAATAAATACTGATGATGAAGAAATGTACATTCAACCAGGAAGTATTTGCTCCCTTCTTTTCTATCTATCAACCAGTCAATCACAAAAGGAACACTCACAGTGACATATTCTGTTATTTAAAATAGGCTCCTCACCTGGTCATTGAGGTCCAGGTCGACGAATCCTGGGATGCTTTTTGCGAACTCTGTCACTTCCCTCACAGCCTCGGCCGACCTGGACTGACAGCTGTGGAAGAATCTCATCTCTGCTGTGTCCATGCACATGGCCCCAATGACACTAGGGACACTACTGTAATCTGACAGGGGGGTACCTGTCAGCCCTGGAATCAAAAAAGTTCTTTAATGCCTTTGGTTCAACTTACTTTTACCACATTATATGATATTCTGTAATTGTATTCTTTAATTGCTATGGTGTTGTTTGGGAACATGAATTGTTCATGAGTCCTAAACCAATGAACAGTAGTGATGCCATTATTGTTGAATGTTGTTTTTGTTTTTTGTTTTGCACAGGAGAGTTAAAAATATTCACAAGAAGCACAACAAGAATCAATATTGGAGAAAAAAATACTAAAAATTTTACACTGACTGATAAATTTAAGAATAGTTTCACCTATATTAGTACAATAAAACCACACATTGTTACATCTCATTGTCAAAAAAGTTTGCCATATCAAAATTTTATGATTGGAACAACACAAGAGGAGTGACAGGGAATATATATAGAGTATACTGAGGTTAGACATTATTGTTTTATTGTTTTATAAGGATCCCCATTAGCTGCCCATATAAGGGCTGCTAGTCTTCCTGAGGTCATCTGCAGTAATTTGATAGCCAGCATCTCCTTGAGTGTATATTTAACTTCAATCGTGAGTGCAGAGCAGGGGAGCTGATGCCAATGAAATATGGCTTTATACAGCACTGCTGACTTCAGTATGTTTGTCTTTGGGCGAGGAAGTTTAAGATCCCCACCTAGTGCTCTTCTTGTCAGATGTCTGTGATTGTTTTCCACAGAAACTAACTTTTCAACAAAAAAATGAGAGTTGCCAGATAGAAGACTTATGTGAGATTTATGGACATAGTTAAGGTTATAGTTATAGAGTTACAGTTATAGAGGACGGAAGACAGAAATCTTACTGACCACTGAATCCATTAGTATTTATGGAGGTCTGTGGCTGCTGATCCAGGGTTGGTACTTGGAGGTTGATTAACTGCTCTCCTTCTAATAAAGACTTCATATCATGGATGACAAAAGGCTGTGACAAGAAAACACAAGATAGACAGGAGACATTACGTAATCAAGCTGACGTAATTGAGGTCCTGTCCATTCAAGTCAGCTGCATGTAAACACTGTTTTAACTGTGGTTCATTCATCAATTTTGTCAAAGCAAACACAACACACCTTGGAGAATTTATTGGCAACTTAAACAAAAATGTTAAATGAAGCTTGAGAGGTAAAAAAGGCTTGTGCAAACTTGAAAAAAGATTGCACAATTCTGCGACTACCAAGGATTTGTCCGATTGCTGTAAAAAGTGAAATGTGCAATTTTTATTTTTATCTTGTTTTTAACCAACATTGTATTCAATGTAAAGCAGTAGCAGTGATCACCTGTTAAATTATGAGACAACAATAAAAGTGCACTATGGAACTTTTTCGGTGTTTCCACAGACTCATCTATCCCCAAAGAGACAAGCGAGTGACGCCACCAGGACAATGGACTGGTGATCATGTTTTTCCACTAGTTTAAGCAATAAACTTGCCTGTTATTGCATACATGTACGACTGAATGCCTTACTGTGGAATATGACAAGCAAAGCAATATAATCTCAATAGAGACAAGTAGTTGCTCAGCAGACCCCCCACCAGAAAAGTTACATAGTGCACCTATAAAGCTTACCGATCTGATTCTAAAATGTAAAAGAACTTGTGTAAATGAAACGGAATTTAAATAGACAAATGAAGCACATCCCTATAGACCCTGACATTTTATAGTGACATAAGTTATACAGCGAACGCAAACACTCAAATTTAAGTCGACCACACATGAGTGAATTTCAAGGTCCTAAGTGTGAAAAATGTAAATATTGGACTAAGCTGCACTCATTGACTCCCTGTTTGAAGTAGTTTAGTGAATAACACAGGCCTCCCTCAGACAGACAGTCAAAACAAAACACAAAGAGATACAGAGCAGCCTTGAACCGTTCTGACTCCAGATCCAGGCACGAGCAGCAGATTTCAGCTACATTTTAGAGACAATTCTACATTTCCAATCAACAAACCAAAGAATATTAATATGGGGCAAGGATGGAAAAAATTTAAAATGAAAAAAATCAGTTCCTTTAAAACACTATTAGCATGCACTGTTCTTTAGCAGTTTAGTTATTTAGTTATTTTTGCCTTGGTCCTTTTTAGTCGACTAATCAACATGTCTTTAGTTTACCAAGAACATCTTTAGTCGGCCACAGCCTTACCGCCTACACAAGTTTCTAACCTCATTTTGTGTCTACGTTTTTTTTATAAAGCAGTAGTTAAACCAGGCATTAGCCACTCCTAACTCTCCTCTTCTATGTATTTAATGTATTTACTATAAGTGTTTATATCGCTGGATGGTAGGTGGACTGGGTGTGTTTGTGTATGTGACAAATAAAAAAAAAACTGTAATTAAATAAATGCAAGATAGATCTGTTCAATGCTGAACTTTGTTAGTTTATGAGCTTTCTAACACAAAATGTTAGTTCTCATCAAATTGATTTAAGTGCATTAGTGTGTTCTGAATACATATTGTAGACTGTATCTCACCACGTTGTCCCCAGTCTTTCCGGAGAGGATGGCCCTGGCCTTGGCCTTGGTGAGGGGGAAGTATTTGAGATATGCTTCGTACAGATGTCGTGACAAAGCTCGGAGATCTGCCGCCTCTGGATGTAAAAGCTCCACGTCTGACGAAAACTCAGCCAACAACTTCTCCTTCTCCGCCTGGGGCATCCGGCCAAATCGGATCGCTTGAAAAACAGAAGGAAATATATTTACAATCAAAAAAGTGCTGTGGAGATGTTAGCTGGAGTATATCAGGGATCTAAACAAATAAAGACCAACAATAAAACTTATTAGGGACAAAATTTCTCTCTCTCACTAAACAAAATCAATGAGAGTAACATTCACCAAAGATCACATCTATTCTTATTTATAGGCCAGGATATTACAATGGTAAACACTAAATAAATCGTCAAGTCTAATTGTCTCAAACACTTTGCTAGATGAAACCAAGACACATGTATTATTTTAAGTACAATCAAATGTTTTAAAGAAATAACATTTACAGAGCACTGGGAAAGGACAAAGTCTGCCAAATGACATAATAATAACGTAAAAGGTTAGAATTAAGACCTGGAAGTATGAGATCACTGCTGTTCAACTCCACTAACTATGGATTTATATGTTACTTGTTTTCAGCTACATTGGTAAAACTAGTTTGAAAGGTACTTGAAAGACTGCAGATGTTCAGTCCATTAGATAGATTTAAACACACAACAGCAGAAAAGCTGTGTAGTTTTTGTGTGATCTGAATCTCTCAAGAAAAACATACTTGGTCACACCACTTTTTACAACTTTTTAAAACTTATCAAGTGACACCATAGATTCCAACTGAAAATCTTTCTGTAAATGATTCCAGGACCATGGAGGTGCATAGCAAAAGGCAGATTTTCCAGCTCAGTGAAACAGAGGCACAATGAAAAGTAAATTGGAGAAGGAGCAAAACCAGTAACTACCTGGGTTGATAAAAAGAAAAATAAGCAGTATGGCATTAAATTTGTCTATCACTATGGAGATAAACAGGTGTTGCCACCATGAAGTCATTATCAAAATATGTTTGGAATCTAATACCAACAAACAACAACAGTGACCTATATCAGGAGTTCACAGTGCGCTCACACTAGTGCGTTCACCTAGCGCTGGATATATAAACAAATCACAATTGTTTTTCATAGTATATTATCAACCATGATATTAGATTGAAGGTCATATTGTCATACAGACTTTCAATCACTGTTTTTTTATTGACAATTAGAAATTACTGAATATCAATTCAGATTTGATTATAATTTCAAAGCCCTATCTAGGGGTGTGCAAAAATATTGAAATATCGATATATCGTATCAGTCGTATAAATTATTGTGATAATACTGTATCGATATTGTGGCCTGCTGTATCAATATATCGCAAAGAGTATTTTTTGGTAAATTTTACAAAATTATTTTGTTACAGTGCTAGAGTTTTGTTGCTTGTTTAGTGGAAACAAACTTGTTTATACAACATATTTTACATTTTCACAGTTTTGATTATTAAAATGGGTGTGTTTAATATTCACTTGGCACAAGAAGTGGTTTAATAAAGGCTTTTAGTATCGCAGCCACGATTTAGCCTTTATTTTGTATTGAACTGTATCGAATTGATTTGAAATGTAACATATCGAATCAAAAGCTCACTGTATCAAGATATGTATCGTATTGTGGTCTATGTATCGAGGTATGTATCGTATTGGCAACTTCTTAATGATACCCAGCTCTAATATTCACCATCATTAACTCCAAACTAATCCTGTACTAAACCAGGACTAGACAAGAACTAGAACAAGGCCAAATCAGTTCCACATAAGGGATAAAGTGAGGTCAAATTAAGCCCAAATAAGGATAAGTATAACCCTACCATATAAGACTCACTTTCACCATCAGATTGGATTGATGAATCAGATGCACCTGACGTCTGCTCTGCTCCTGTCAGAGACTATAAAGTTGCGTCCAATGAGATTTTTATAACTTTAATTTGCTCTTGACAATTATTATTAACTATGTCTGCGAGTATCACTGCCAACACTAGACAAGGGGCAATTTTCTTGGCCTATAATTTCAAACAACTCTCCCAGCTCCTATCAGTGTGTATAACAAGACTCACACTAACCATTACATAAGTTTTCACCCTGTTATGGGCACAAAATCATAAACATTTGGAATATCTGTAGTAAACACGTTTTATCTCTTGCAAAATGAGTTATATTAAGTAGTAAAGATAACAATTATAGCAGCAGTAGAAAAAGAAGTAGAGGCAAGGGGTAACCAAAAACTAATTTCTTACATCTTTACCAATAGATTATTTAACTAATTTCACCTTTACTCTCAGATTATCTGTCTAATTTCATTTTTACTAATAGATTATTTGACTAATTTCATGTTTACAGATAGATTATGTGACTAATTAAATTTTTACTAACAGATTATTTGACTAATTTAATCTTTACTAATAGATTATTTGACTAATTTCATGTTTACAGATAGATTATGTGACTAATTTAATTTTTACTAACAGATTATTTGACTAATTTAATCTTTACTAATAGATTATTTGACTAATTTCATGTTTACAGATAGATTATGACTAATTTCATTTTTACTAACAGATTATTTGACTAATTTCATTTTTACTAACAGAATATTTGACTAATTTCATTTTTACTAATATATTATTTGATTAATTTCACCTTTACTAATAGATTATCTGTCTAATTAAGTTTTTACTAATAGATTATTTGACTAATTTAATTTTTACCAATAGATTATTTGACTAATTTCATTTTACTAACAGATTATTTGACTAAAATTATTTTTACTAACAGATTATTTCACTAGTTTCACTTTTACTAACAGATTATTTGACTAAAATTATTTTTACTAACAGATTATTTCACTAGTTTCACTTTTACTAACAGATTATTTGACTAAAATTATTTTTACTAACAGATTATTTCACTAGTTTCACTTTTACTAACAGATTATTTGACTAAAATTATTTTTACTAACAGATTATTTCACTAGTTTCATTTTTACTAACAGATTATTTGACTAAAATTATTTTTACTAACAGATTATTTCACTAGTTTCACTTTTACTAACAGATTATTTGACTAAAATTATTTTTACTAACAGATTATTTCACTAGTTTCACTTTTACTAACAGATTATTTGACTAAATTTATTTTTACTAACAGATTATTTCACTAGTTTCATTTTTACTAACAGATTATTTGACTAATTAATTTACCACTAGATTATCTGATTGATTTCATTTTAAAAAAATAGATTGTCTGACTCATGTCATCTTTACTATTATTCTTTATTAGTCTTTACAAGATCTGACAAATTTTATGACATTTCTCACAGATTTAAATGTCATTTAGCTGTGGTAAGAAAATGTATCTTATTTTATAGTGAAACCAACGTAGTGAAACAGGGCCCTATACCCGAATTTAACCCATGAGTGAGAAAATGGATTAGTTTGAACTCTCAACTTACTCAGTCCTTCTCACTCTAAAACTGCACCATGACAGAGAAACAGCCGTCATATTTCAGGTAATTATGTTTTCTGTTATTATACTGTTTTATTTTGCATTTTATTGTCCTAAAAAATTACAAAGAAAAATCTCAATCTGATTGTTACTTGTAGAAAATATCATGCTGCTGATAGTGAACTAGAAGAAAAATAAAAAACAGGTATGGGCTTTCATTTATTATCATTACATTTTCATTTTAATCTTAAATCAAGATTAAGTCTTCGATGTGGATTCTTATATTCATTATTGTGGTGTACTACAGTGTTGCCAGAGTGGTCTATTGCGTGTAATTACAGAACAAATTCAACAAAAAAACATTACTATTTCTAAATAAAACAAAAGCTATTGGATCATTTTCATTTAACATAACTTGACAGGACATGCCTTTACTTCATTCACAACAAAGAAACACACTTATAAAAATCTAACTCAAACTCAGAAGATTTGACGTCATGGCGCGGTAAAACGGTTAAATAGTTGAGTAGGAGTTGAAAGTCATTAATTCTCCTTTTCACGGAGGCCTGGAGCAGCAGCCGCCGAGTGCATGTTTGCTGTAGCGTGTGTGTGATTGTGCAAGAGCCATGGCAGAGATAAATGTACACCTTAAACAAATGAATGAAACTGGCACGGCTTCAACTGCAATGACACAGCAGCTCTCAGACTGTACAGGGCCAAGTACCAGCAACTGTCAATCATTACACAAGCTCACACAAAGCATCAGAGTTTACAAACCAGTATGCCGGAGTGGAGGAGTCAGGGAAAAGTTAAGATGTTTTAAATTTGAAAGCTAAAAAATAGTTTGAAAAACGTTTTTAAATGTTTTGTTAATCAGCGACTGTCAGTCATCTATCACACAAGCGCAGAAATCATAAAAGCTCATAAACAAGTATGCCAGTGAAGTCAGAAAAAAGTTATAATATTTAAAATTTGAATGCTAAAAATTGGTTAAAAATGATATTTGAATGTATAAACAAAAGGTTTAAGTGTTTAAGAGGTTTACTAGCAACTGTCAGCAACTGTCAATCATCTATTACATAAGCACACAGGAAGCATCAACGCTTATAAGCAGGTGTTCAGGAGTAGTTAGGAAAAATTATAAACATATTTATGTTTATTTATTTGAAAGCAAAGCCAATGCAAATTATACGTTACTATACAATACTGAAATGTTAGTTTTATCAACACCTGCTAATTACTTATCAGTTTTTATAAAAAAAAAGTTTATAAGCAGGTGTTCAAGAAAAATTCAAGTTTCAATGTTTAAAGTAAAATACTATGTTTTTTCCATTAATTACACAGTGGGTATGCAAGAGTAGTCATGTAAAAATTAAACTATTTTAATTTTGAATGTGTAAAGTTCAGTTAAATGTTTTCAACAACTGTCAATCATTAATTACTCAAGTACATAGAAATTGTGAAAGTTTACTAGCAAATATGCAATAGTCTGAAGACTGCATTGTTTTAAGTCTGAAAGCAAAAAGCTTAGTAAAATGTAACATTTGTCAGTCATCTATTACACAAACATACACAAATAATCCAAGTTTATAAATGGGTATTCAGGAGTAACAAAGAGAAAAGTCTGAGACTCTCCGGTTACATTAAAAAGCCCTTTAATGTGAAAATGGTACTAGCAGCCTTCATAGTCTCATTTTCACATTAAAGTATTTTTTAACGTAGTAGGAGTGGCTCAGATTTTTCTCTTTGCTGATGTTTGACCTGATAATTGAGCCACTCAAACACTCATCTTTTTAATCTTTAAGGGTATTTAAGAGTAGTTGGGGAAAAAATATGATGTTTTAAATTTGAATGGTTTAAACTGGTTGAAAACTATATTTGAAAGTGTTGTAAATATTGGGTTAAATGTTTATCACCGGCTGTCAATCACTTATTACAGTACAAAGAAATAATCAAAGTTTCTAAGCATTAAAACGTTTTAAAGGTCCTGTATTAAGCAAATTTGACTCTTGTGAGCTTTAAGCAATGTTAGAATGTTGTTACCTCATCAAAAACATACCTGCAGTTGTGTTTTTTTCCACTGACACATGTCTGAGTCATGCATATATGATTAGTCTGTCCTCATCTCCAAAGCTCAAAATCCTCTGTTCCACCTTGTGATGTCATGTTGTGGTAGTGGTAGTGGTAGTTTTCATGGCTACCTTTTACCTTTTGTTCAGTAGAGATTGGCAAATCTAGAGTTGAAACGAACTAAATTATTCTAGTGAACTTCACTTTAAAAACACAGTGAAGCACTTGTATTGTACCTTACTGACATCACAAGGTGGAGCAGAGTGTTTTGGAAACAAAAGTATAATAGATCAGAAAATGCTGTAATATGGGGCGTTTAAATTAGAATGTGTAAAGTTTGGTTTGGTGTTTATCATGTCTGTCATTGTAGGAGCATGGACATATAAATGTTTACTAGTGTGTAAGCAGGAGTAGGCATGGAAAATTGCAATATTTAAAATCTGAATGCTAAAATAAATAAAATGCTTGGCTTATGTACAATTGTTAATCATTTGTTACTTAATATGTGGGTATTCAAGAGTATTCAGGAAAAGCTTTGAAGTCTGAATGTTTAAAGTTTGGTTGAAAGTGAAAGGTATGGACTCTAAAATGTGACCTATTTTCCTTGTTGTCTTGCTTATAGCACTGCATGGGTAAAGTGTACACACCTACACTTTCCTTTACAAGAGACGGCAAAAAATATACAGTAAGATGCCACATGTTAGGATGGATTTATTTTGATATTCACAATTAGTACCACAACAACATTACTCATGGATCAACTTTAGTATGGATTTACAAAATAATAAAACTTAAATGATGGTACTTTTTCATTCAATCTGCATTCAAATTTAATAGATATATACTGTATAATTAAAGTTCAATAAAATAAACAGACTATGGGTTGTCGAGTTCTGATAGTATGTGATCAAACGTTACATGGGCAGGATTTATCATCGTGATGAAAATGACAGAAAACAGGTTAAATTTGATATAAAAATTCTGAAAACTGAGGATGGAGAAGAATGGAGTAGAGTAGTAGTCACGATAATCGACTTTCATCATTCAATACATGACACATGAAACTACTATTTTTGGGGTTCAATATTTATCGTGGTACATTTTCTTTGTACTAGTGGGAAACTTTGTGCATTTCTTTCTGGACTACAATAAGATTTAAGCTCTAGAGAATAAAATAAATAACTTCTATGACTCTCAAGTATTTAATTTATTTATTGCAGCATGTTCATGATTTAGAATGTTTTTTGAGGGTGAAATCTTGCTGTAGGATGATCGTGTCAGTGGTATTATAGCATTCAATATGATCTTGTAGTCTATATTTTCAACAATATATAGTACTTCAACGTGTACTTCATTTGTTATCGTGACAGGCCTACAAGTACTGCCTGATCAGCCAGTCTAGAACTGGAAAATACAGTGTCAAGAACCAATCCAACCACAGCTGCTAATTTATATTGAATGTCTCTAAAATGCGGAAGACATCTCCTTTCAAAAATTTTAACACACTCAGATCAAAATATACAACTTCTTATACATGAGATAAATAATAGTTTGATTTGAAACAGGATACAGCTCAATATCCACTTGTCTTTGTAAAGTTTTGTCAAAGCGTCTGGTTCCGGCTGGTTAGGCAACAAGTGTACAGCAAAGACAAACTGCCTACAACACTCAAAAATGAAGTTTTGTTTTTAAATTACCAAAAGTTGATCACTTTGATATCCAGAGCTCACGTGTTACGAGCGTCAGTGACATACTGCTTGGTCAGCTCTATTATAAATACCAACAATATTAAAGCATGTATTGGACTTGGGCTGGGTCATTTATTTTTACATCAAACTCGCTGTTGTATTGTCTCACTAGTGGAGGTATACTTTAGAAACAATCTCTTATTTAAACTGAGTGACCACGCCCCAAGCAGCCAAACTAACCAGAGATTCAGGGCTTTACAAATGAGGCAGAACCAGCACTCCCACACACAGCTGGAGCTCGGCATTCAGCAGGGCAGACAGGTGTGTGAGCGGCCACTGGGCAAGCAAACAAGCCCGTGGAGGCTTTTTATTTAAAGGTGTACTGTGTCACTTTTCTGTTGGAGGGTCTACATGTGTGTCTACATGGGGTGGTTATTGCTTCGTCTGGAATGTAGTATGGCATTATACATATTTATACACACTGATCATTTATTCAATTACAAGTGTTTTATTGCGCACAAATGCACTAAAAAATGACGCTAGAGTAAGTGGACTCGCCTCCACATATCTCACATGTAACTTGGTCTGGTATTGAGTTTAGTTATTACAATTGTTGATATTTTTCTCACAATTTTAACCATTTAAATGTTTTGCATGACATAAAAAAAGAGTCTGAAGTCTTCTTAGGAATGTAATTTTTTTGTATCCGCAATATGACGCAACTAATTGTGTTTTAAAAGTTTAAACGTTTTAAAGTCTTTTGAAGCGGTATTTTTATTGTTTAAGAATCGCGTGTGAAAATGTGTTCCAGGTTAAAACCATAGCAGCTTTTTTGTACCCTACTTACTATTTTTTCTTGAGAAACTAGTTCTACCCTTCGACCACCATTTTGTCTTAATGGGAACTGAAACATGACCAAAGGTTGAGACAGTGACCACCACATGAGACGAAACTGGTCTAAATGTACGGGGTATTTCTGAACATATGGAACTTCAAAACGCCTTCAAGACCAAAACGGAGGCGCTTAAGAGGCTAATGTGCCAGTTTCACAGAATACTGCACTAAATACACAATACTTCATTTTCGGTGTCTAAAGGGCATGTATTTCAAACCCATTTTCTATAACCTATATGTGATTTTGTACTACAGTCTTTTTTCAGATATTAAGGTCATATTAGTGTTGTCACAATACAAAATTTCAAAGTCAAATTTGATATTAATGATACTCTCATTTGAAAAGCTCATTTTAGACAATATTGTGATTTTCAACACAAAATAAATGTTTATTATACCATGTGGTCTTACATTTGTCCTGATAAAACTCAAAGTCAGATATTATCCAGTTATGTGATATTTTTTCCAGTATCAGTACTTATGATTGTGAATACTTTTGACAATCTTCGGGCAAATATATAAGTATTACAATTAAACAGATTCTTTGAAAGGTCAGCTATACTAGCCTCTTTATTGTTAATACCAGCTTTTATAACCACTAAGCCACCAATCATTATTAAAGCTATAGGCTACAGGAGTACATAGTAAGGTAATGTAGGCATTAAAGCAAAAGTAAACTTGACTGTGTATGTTTAGTTTTGATTTTGCGGTGTATTTGCTTTGAACAGATTTGACTGTGGTTCAAATAGGATAAACAAATATGGGCCTCTTCTGAGGTGCAGATGCAAATACCATCCCAATATAGTGGCCAACCAATACATCGGCTTTACATTTTAATAGGTAAAAACAAATTGCATTATTTAATGACCATGTAACATATTGTGAAAAAAACTGGTGACATGAGGACAGTGGACAAACTGCTCTTCATCATGGACACTTCTGCTCACCCACTGCACCAGACTATAGAGGGACAGATAATACTCCCTACAACTGTACAACAACTCACCCACTGCACCAGACTATAGAGGGACAGAGGAGCTCATTCTCCAACAGGCTCCTACAGCTCCACTCAAACAATGAGAGATACAGGACTACATTTATACTATACACCATACCACTGTACAACAACTCACACTTACTACCTCTTGTATGTAGCTGAGATTTATTTTTATTATTATTATATTTCTATGTTTTATTTTTACTCGTACATATACATTTACATTATCATGCCTTCTTTGACATCAGTCTCTTGCTTTTTTCTGCTACTTAGTTAGAATGTTATTACTGTTATTACGCTGATATATACTGTGAGCTACTGTGTCCAAATCATTTCCCTTGTGGATCAATAAAGTTTTTCTAAGCCTAAGTTTATAACATCATAGCTATTGTACTGGACTTCCCAATAGTAAAGCGACATTACTATTAGCACATTTAATAGAAGGGCACCATACCGTTGTGTGACATGCCGACATTGAGGCACTTCTGGAAACGGCAGTACTGACACTTGTTCCTGGACTTTTTGTGAATGCGACAGTGGAGGTCACAGTGATCGTACACAAGCTTTAGCCGAATTGTGCGTCTGAAGAAACCCTGGAAACACAAAAGAGAACAGAATACGGATTAGAATATAGAGTATATTTGTAGATCTTGTTTATTTATGTTGCAAATGTTAATGAAGTGTTTTTTACAGATTTCAACTAGGTCTTTATTTTTACAATTACAATTTTTTGCTAATAACATCTTGTATTTACTTTTTGATAATATCATTCTGAACATAAACTGACAAACTATGACAACACATTTTGGTACATATAAATAGTAACATAAACAGCTCATGTACTGTATAACGTTTTAGAAAAGTTAAATTGTTTTGTACAGAGCTCATTTATGTGAAAATATTCTTCACTATATGCCAAAAGCTAACAATAAATAATTAAACTGTCAATAAAAAAAATTCTGTTCTGTTATAACGTTCTTTCCTCATCAAAACATACCTGGAGATGTGTTTTATTTGATTTCACACATACTTATCAAATCCTGCATATATAGGTTGAGTTCTCACATACAGAAAACACTCTGTTCCACCTTATGATGTCATGTGGTAATACAAGAAGTGCTCCACTGTGTTTTAAACTTCATACATGTCACTAGAATCATTTCTGTAATTTCAGCGCTCGGATTTCCAATCACTACTGAACAAACGGTAAAATGTATCTGTTAATTTGAAAACTGACACTCATTTTAAGTTTTGGAAATGAGAACAGAATAATAAAGGGTTACTCGAACATATGTGAATGAAACAAAACCCAACTCCGGGTACCTATGATGAGGCAACAACGTTTTAACATGGCTTCCAGCTCACAAGAGTCAATATTGCGTAATATAGAACCTTTAAAAAATTAATAACATGAGTAGTTTAGGTATAAAACTACTAAATACTGATGATAGTTAATGTTATCTGTTCAGCTACTGATGTTACAAGTAATCTCTCTAACTGTAAAAAAATTGTATTCATTCATTATGCTGTCATTTAAACAGAATTTTTGTGACATATTTTGGGAAACTCTGACTAAAAATGTACACATTACATTTATATTTTGAATTAGAGGAAGTTAATAAAATCATCTGCTGTGGGACTATCTGAAGCAGCATTAAAAATCTTAATCTTATCTCACTATCAAAAAGTCAAATGTCCACCTCCTACGCTCAGCTTATTCACTGGAGATAAATGAGGCACAATACAACACCAACAATTATAAAAACGTCTTTGGTATTTTCTTACTAAATAAAAGTGGGTGGCTGTGTTTGTTAAATTGATTTCCACAATTCACACATGGTCCATTTATAATCCCGGTTTATTTTGGGAGTGAGGAAGTTAAAGGGGGGATGAGGCTCCACCTTAATAAAGAATGTTTTCTGTTTTGAAACAATTAAATGTTTGCTCATTTGGCTGACCCCCTCTTCTGGTACCAATCCCCCAGAGACCACTACAAACAATGGCCCCAGTGTGTCATGTGTTGAAAATAAGCACTTAGCTGCGAATTATGAACCTTGTCTATCAATTTTTCAAGGCAATAACCAGCTATCAATGTGCTGAACACCAGTTACTACATTAACAAAGCTGACTTAAGCTCATTTGGTCTGTCAAAAGGTTATCATAGATGTTAAATAAACAACTGACCCTTATGTTATAGATAACCTTATGTCATGTCAAAGCTACCATATTCATCTTTGCACTTGATTTACACCTCTTGTAAATATCTATCTATTTTATATTTTACAATGTTGGATTTCAGTTGTACTAATATATATCTGAGTATTTGTTCCCCTTTTAACACCATTTTATTCATTTATCATTATTCAGAGTTGTATTACCATTATTTGCTGTTTGAACTACAATCATATTATAGTTTGTAATTTAATTTAAAGTCATTTCCTTGTGAAGTTTAAAAAAAGTGAAAGTCTTAGGCTATAGGTGGAGATGTTGCTATACCACGCTCTGACTTATGCTAGTACTGTTTCTATAATTGCTCTAGCTTCCTGTTAATTTAAGAATTGATTTTAAGATGTCAGTATTTGTTTTTAAAGATTTAAAAGGACTGGCCCCTCAAAACCTGATCCAGATTTACACCCCTGCATGTGCGCTGAGGTCCGAGGGCCAGCTCCAGCTTGTGGTGCCTAAAATGAGACTTAAAACCGGCAGGGACAGGACCTTCTCTGTGGCAGGCCCCGAACTCTGGAACACTCTGCCCCCTCACGTTCAAACAGCCCCCACAGTGGAGTGTTTTAAGTCTCGTCTTAAGACCCACTTTTATTCTGTGTCTTTTAACACAGCGTGAGTTGTGTGGTCCTCTGTGTCTTTTATTTATTTATTTATTTATTATTTTTTATCTTTTTTTAGTACTGCTTTTATGTATTGATTTTATTATTTTTGTTAATTGATTTTATCATTATTATTATTATTTTATTTAATGATTCTATTAGTTTCCTCATGGTTGAAACATAATTCTGCTGATTTTTTTTTTTATTTTGATTTTTTTATGTAAAATGTTTTACATTGCTACATGAAGCACTATGGAAACTGTCTTGTTTATAAAGTGTGCTATACAAATAAAGTTGGATTGGATTGGATAATAACTGTAATGTATAGTTTTACCAAAAAACAAATTTGCCACTATCTCTCTTACTCTAAAATTATTATTGTTGGACGTAAAGCCTAATAGATGAAATAACAAATCAAAACAAATTCAGCTCCTCCAAAACCATTCATTTAATCTAAATCTAAACTGAGGCTAAACCCAAAAAATAAACTTGGACTAAAGAAGACCAAACTAAAGAAGAAAAAAACAAGTCTACAGCAAGACTAAACTGAGATTGAACCAGCACCAAATCAGGATAAGTATAAACGCATACTATTTATTTTTTATGTAGCTCAAATAAACTAAAATACTTTTTGGATGCTTTATGAGGAACTATCATTAGACAGAGACACAAAGAAAACCAACATCAAACAATCATGAATGTACTATAACTGTATATGCTCTACTCTACTTATTATTTATGTTTTGATTTGTTTTTGGTGATTTTAATGTCTTTCTTATTCTGTAAAGCACTTTGAATTACTTTGTGTATGAGCTGTACTTTCCAAATAAACTTGCCTTGCCTTTGTAAGCGATCCAGAATAATTGAGAATGAATGAGTCAATACTTATTTTTTTTATATGTCTTGTCAACCATATTTAAAATACAGTAAAAACTTAACTGTTATATACATATTAGTAGCATTAGTAGCAGTAGCAATGCTTTAACCAGCTCATTATGGAGAATATACATTTATAATAATATATTTTAAATTAAACTTTTTGCCCACTTGTTTGCTGTAATCTGCCCTTTTTTTTGGAGAGCACAAGATGAACTCTGATCTTCGATGTCTCAGTACTTCAGAGAAATTTTAAACAGACTGAGACTTCCCGCACACTGTATTAGTTCTCTATATGAAGAGTTCAGTCTGAGGTTCAGTGGAAAAACACACAACTTGTGGTCAGACATCAGACAACATGAAAAGAAGATTTGCCCTGAATTTACATATGAAATTCAGCCAGTGTCTCTTCTATGAATAACTCAAAAGGAAACAGTGTACCCAGCACTGCGTATTGTTCCTCGCCCACACTTCCTGAGCTAAATTCTATTAATCACTGTGCACAATATCATTTACTGTATTATAAAATGACATAAAACCACTATTAATTTCCTGATTGCTGTAAAGGAGTGTCTGCATGACAAACTGAATGCATTAATTGCTATTTGTCTTTTGTGGCCTTATCTCTGCCAACGTTCATCATAACAGTAATATTTACAGTTAACTGCAATCAAGCGGTTAGAATGTGGTTGAGAATAAGATTTAAGATACTGATCAAAATTCACGTAAATGTAATGAGTCAATCACTTTGTATAGTCAATTTGAAAAAGTGCATTGTAACTTTTCTGGTAGAGGGTCCATCACAAGCTTTTCTCCATGGAGATGTTATTGCTTTGTCTGGAATGTTCCATAGTATGGTATTAAACCTTTCTTTCATCATGGAGACCAAACCAGGCCAAGATACTGGTTATATCTAGAGGTGTGCAAAAATATTGAAATACCAATATATCGTATTGTTTAATGTGATGATACAGTATCAATATTGTGGGCTTCTGTATGGATATATCACCAAGAGTATTTTAGTAAATCATTTTGTTGCAGCGCTACAGTTTTGTTGCTTGTTTAGAGGAAGGAAACTCATTTATTTTCACTGTTTTGATGTGTTTTGATGATTAAAATGTTTGTGTTTCATTTTTATTTTGCACAAGAAGTGGTTTAACAAAGACTTTTAGTATCACAGCCATGATTTAGCCTTTATTTTTTTATTTAACAGCATCAAATCAATTTAAAATATATTGTATCAAATTGTATCAAATCGAAAGTTCACTGTATTGAGGTACGTGTATTGTGGCCTATGTATCGAGGTATGTATCGTATCGCCACCTTCTTAATGACACTCAGCCCTAGTTATATCTGTGGAGAGGCAACCCCACTCTCAGTCAGAATGTCTGTTTTTCCAGATATTTTTGAACTATAAAACCTGTAATTGGTAGAGGTGTTTAATGTCATACTGTGGAATATTCTAGGCTGAGAAATGATGGAACCCAGCCAAAAAGCCAACCAAATAGCAGCGATTGGTTAAATGATAAAAAGTACCCGCCTACCGTCAAGCGAACGAAATCTAAGGCTGCGAGGTCAGATGGTTTGTACGAAGTGAAACCAAGTAAAACCGGCTGATCGATCAGGCTACTAGTTTGGGTTTTGTTAAGGTTAACAGCCAATCCTCTGTCATTATTTACACTTTATTGTCCCTAGGCAAATTTGTCATACACATTTGACTCATCCAAAATGCCACTGGGGCAACCTGTCTGGAGCAGCAGAGACCCATCTCCATGATCTTGGTCATTACTTCCTTAACTGGAGGATTATACTTATACCTATGGTGCATGTTTCGGGTTCATGTGGTTTGGAGTCCAGTCTTTGGAGTTATAATTTTTTTGTGTATTGTCTATGTTCAGGAAAGTAATACTGACAGACATTTTATTTGTTTTAATAAGATAAAATTAAATAAACAAGAAAATGTCATTGGCCAATACAAAGAAAAAGTATCATATTATATTTCTATCAAACCGCCCAGTCCTAAGAAAGGATTATTTCCTCAGAAAGCATTATCATATTTCCAGAACATTTTCTTATTTCTTTTGTAAAAATGCCATATTTGAATTCCTTACATTTCTCCCCATTCTATCCTGTATACAGTCTCCCAGTGTGTGCTCTCAGGCCCTCACCTTGCAGCCCTCACACGCGTGGACTCCGTAGTGAAACCCTGATGCTCTGTCTCCACAAACTCTGCACTCGATGTTTAAAGCTGTGGTGGTCGTGGTCGCTGTATCGTCCTGAAGTTTGAAAACCGGACTGTCTATGTGCAGAGGGGGGGACTCAGGCTCCAACTTTATTAGACCTGAAAAGACAACATAAAATCAGATGTGGGTAGTACTTTTACTTTTATTTGAGTAATATTTTTATTGAAGTAGCAGTACTCTTAAATGAAAAATAAAAGTTGTGGTTACCTTCCTACTGTGAGTAAGTAAATATAAGTAACAAATGCTTTATGTTTGTGTTTCTTGCACCACTCCTTCAGATATGATTTAGATTTTCTCATGTTTGTCTATTTGTACTTCTGCTTAAGTATTATTAAACTGAAGAAACATTATGCATACTTGAGTACTATTTTTGACTACTCTACCCTATATAAAATAGATGAAAAGATGTCTTTGAATGCACGCTTGGTTGCATACATGGTTTTGGGAATGCATTTTCCAGTCTTTTCTTGTTGTACATGATTTAAGATTGAGATGATGATTTATAGACTGACCCATGCTGACTACAACATTGTGAAAGTCAGATTGAAAAAACTTCTGTTACTTAAAAGGCCGTGTCCAGAAAAATGTGTTGAGTCCAACTTTTTATTGTTCTTTGGAAAAGCAAAAAGAAGAAGTATGCAAGGGAGAGCGTTTCAAGGGAACATTATTTATCACCTGAACCACACATTTGTCTTTGCTCATATATTTTTATCAATGACTAAAACATTTCTTACATGGATTTATAGATGTTTAGTGTATTTTTGCACTAAAACACTGAGTTGAACACAAAAAGTGGTTTTCCAGACACTAAAATTGGCTTTTCAAATTCATACATTTTTTCATTAGCTCCTCAATCTTCATACTTGGAGGTGGTGGTGAGTTATTTCTGCCACAGTTGCCCTGCTAGATTGACAAAAACATGACTGCCAATTTGCAGAAGTGGCCTCTCCAATCACCAACAATAACTCACTCATACACCACAATCACACATACAGAAAAAGTGTCTGAATTGTCTTGCTCAAGGACACAACCAGCCCTTTTCTCTCCCGTCCTATGCTCATATTGTATCATAATGTGATTGTGAGTGGGGAGTTGGACCAGGCAATAATGTCCATCTGGGAAAAGTATGTGGGGATTTAACCTGCAACTGTTGGTTTTTGCAGGCAAATGCTCTTACCTCTAAAGCATTGCCAGCCTTGTAGACCCTAATGTTTTGAGTTTTTTATGGTTTTGATTTGTAGTAGTGGGGAGTTTTTGTTCTTTTTTGTACAGTACTACAGTTTCAGTTTTAAATGTAGAAGGTTGAATAAATAACTTCTCTGTCTGGCGTAAATAACTTTTATACTTCTAAGTATTCTCTGCTATTTTATTATTGTTTTTTTTTTTTTTTTTTAGATAATGCTGCTTTTTGGTTATTGTACCAGTGGATTACATTTGTTTCAATATTATCATTTACATATTATACTTCAAAATGTGTTACCGTGACAAGCCTAAGTAATTCTACAGCAAGTCTCACAATATCGATCTGATACCAATACTGATACCAATAGGTTTTATATTAAGATGCATTAAAGGGCCAATATTACGCTATTTTTTTATCTATGTTATAATGTTGTTTCTTCATCACACACACCCTGTGTATTTAGGTTTAGACCTCCACTAGAATCATTTGGATAACTGTCAACAGCAGCTTAAGCCCATTTAAATGAATAATTAAATGTCCAGGTAAATTAAATTACAATTTAAAATGTATTAAATTGTACTAAAGGAAAAAAGTACTGATATCTGACTGATCACTCATCACTAGTTTAGATTTGAACAAAAAAAAAAAAGATACAATATTAAATGTTTCAAGGCTACTGCAAAACCAACGTGACCACACTTACTATGTGTACTATGCGCCTCCATCTCACTCCTGTAGCTGTGCATGCTGCTGTAGTCCAGGCTGCTCAGAGGCTCCTCACTGTGTGGCGGCGGGCTTAGATCATAGGTCATAGCGGAGGAGACGAGAGGAGGAGACAAGGAGGAGGCCAAGGAGGAGCTGGAGATGGAGGAGTAGTCTAGAGTGGACATGTGCTTCGTCTCCAGTCCGTGGGAGCTACAGTCCAACTCGGAGAGATCTACAGGACTCAAGCCAAAGGCAGGCCAAGCCAAGAGGTGCTGGGTGTCCACCATGATGTCTCGTACTGCGGAGAGGGAGAGGAGAGGGGAGAGGGGACGGGGGAGAGAGAGGAAGGGGGTCAGAAGATGAGATGGTTGATAGAAACAGGGGAGATGGAAGAGAGAGGGAGTGAAGGAGAGAAGGAGGAGAGAGAAGAGAACATTCTGAGTGTGTGGGCTTGTTATGAGAAAACAACTCACGAGACAGGAATCATTTAGGAGATAAGGAATCATACCCGGAAACGCACAAGTGAGAATAAGGTATAAAGGATTAAAGTCCTCTATCCTAAACATGATAATCTCATTTGTAAAACAGATTCACACATGATGAAAGGAATGGGAGACACATGCATGCTAATGTCCTATCTGTAGAAATACAGCTACGTGCCAAGGCTCATTTCCAACTAAAATTTTTTGCTTTTTTATAAAACAATTATAATACAGAATGAACAAAGACTATATTCATAAAGAACTGAAAGTCTAACAAAGAGTCTGTGTTAATAATTACTTAATTAAGGGTCAGGAGTTGTAGGGTATTTATTAAGTACTTATGGAGCCTGACGCATTCTTCAAGGTCTTTTAATATACAAAATTGACTCTTGTGAAGTTAAAACCATGTTAGAATGTTGTAATCTCCTCAGAAATAGACCTGGAGTTGTGTTTTGTTTATTCGCACATGTATGAGTAACTCTTTGTTATTAAACAGTCTACCTCTCCGAAGCTCAAAATGCTCTGTTCTACCTTGTGATGTCATGTAGGTGGTAGTTTTCAAGATAAAAAGCTATCTTTTACCTTTACTTCAGTCGAAATGGGCAATTCCATCACAAGGTGATACAGAGTGTTTTCTGTTTCAGGGAAGTACTCAGCCTAAATATGCAGTGTTTGTGTGTTAACCATGTGTGAATGAAACAAAACACATCTATAGATAGGTTTTTGATGAGGAAACAACGTTATAACAGACCAGTAGTACCCAATTAAATTTAATTCAGTACCACTTTACAATTACAGTACTTTGAGTAGACTTAATAAAAGCATGATTTTTTTCAAACTTAACCATTATTAAAAAAAAAATTAAAAATCTGAAATGAAGAGTGAAATGAAAAGTAGTTACACATAGCCCCACGCATTTAGATCACAGTGGGTGTATGTGGCTGTTTGTTACTGAGGAGGAACAGCCAGAACAAGGCGATCTGTGCTGCTTCTGTTGTTGTTTGGGTGCAGAGTTAAATGATTATAAACTCACCACTGTTAGAATGTAAATCTGTCTCAAGCCAAGGCTATCAACAGCACCAATGGGCTTTGGAAAGGAGAGGCTTCACTATGGCCAAGATATAAGATAGCACTACAATTCACAACTACATTAGTACTGATAATAGAGTTAATGATACCCAAATACTACTTGACCAATGCTCTTGAAACTACATACTCATTCAAACAAGTATAAATAAGACAAAACTGAATCTTTCCTTAATAGTTTTCAAAAGCCATAAGTTATAAAGCCACATTACAATATACAAGAAACTACAATTATTTTTAGTTGGAAACTACTTTGTATTTTATAAAAAAAAAAAAAAAGTTTTTATTATCTTTGTTTCATCGATATTTATCAAGTATCAGCCATCAAACATTTCCTTAGTATCAAGTTGAGATTGAAATGTGACAAATGTAACAAAACTAAATCACAGTAGATTTGTAATTATGTAATTTGAAATGAAACATTGTATTTGTATTTCACATATGATTTAAACATTAAAGCTATTTTAAGCGTGTAGAGTTACACAGTGAGGAGAATTATCAGCAGAGAATGGCCAAAGTCCAACTGTCGAAGTTCACTTTAGTGCACTCACAAATCACTGAAGTAGGATCAGGTTGTACAAGGTAAAGCCTTTCAGACAATACAACTCAAGAGTCAATATATGCACAGGTGACATATGTCTTAAATGTTTACAATAAAAATCTGGACGAGGGTCTCCATGGGGATGGTACTGCATTGCTTGAACTGTTTCACAGTGTGGTTTTGAATTACACTGGACACACACAGATGACAAGTTACAAGTCAGATAAAATCAGATGTGAAAACTTAGAGACCACCGTGTTTGTGTGTTTGTTTGCTTTTTTAACAATAAAAACACTAAACACTAAAATCAATGCTAGATAGATAAGTTTAATACCATATTGTGGAACATTCCAGGTAAAGCAATATCTCTACTGAGACAAGCAAGTGAAAAGTTACACAGAGGACCTTTAATGGTAGACTTTTGTATATTCTACCAAATATTCTACTCATAAGAGCTGTTAGTCTCATTTTACAGCCAAAAATACTGGGATTTTTAGTTCCGATATGAAACAATGTTAAGGTTGTAAAAATAGGAAGTGGTACATTAGTGCCCTCCGCCTGACCTAAAGCATTTCATTTGAAAATGTAAGAGGGGGGAGAGGGGAAGGTCAAAACTGGCACAAGTAACACACTTTCTCAAAATACACCTTCCTCAATCAACTCTTGATTACAAAGGACCAATACAAAGGATAAAATTAGTTATGCAATGAGGCAAATTTAAAATAGCAGTACTGGCATGGCACAGTGGAAGGTTTAAAAATGGCAGCAATTACTTGGCAAAACATCCTCTGGGCTCAATCACCTGGAGCTTCCTCTGCTTGTTGTGGAATGTGGTCACAGAATTCCACAGGGACGTACTTAAAATTCACACTGACGCCGACATTGTTTAAGGGTGCGAGTGAGAGAAGCACGGATATGTTTGGCACAGTGTCCTCGGGCTATACTTCCCATTACCTGGAAATACAATAACTATAAATATCTGGGATGGTTTGTTCTATTTGTTGGCAAGAGTCCAGGAGATACCAATTTAAAAATAGACAGTTGGAGAGGCTTGTGTCCCGCTTGGCATGTGCAATTAGGAATACCCAATTTATGGAATCAGAAGTATGTGTCCACTGAGGATAGTTGATTTGTTCTGGTCCTGGTTAAGTCCTGACCTAGTCCAGATTTAGCTCTAGGTTTAGCCAGTTTAGATGTGTTCAAGTGTGAAGAGAGAGAAAAACCTCATTGATCCACACAAGAAATTGAATTGAAGGGCTGTTGCAACTAACGATTATTTTGGTTATGGATTAGTCTAGCAATTGTCCTTTCCATTAATCAGTTAGTTGTTTAGACCATGAATATGAGAGTTTTACTAAATTTGCTAGGGGTGAAGCTGAAATCATGCCACTGAAGAACATCTTCAAAATGTGTAACAACAAAATTAAAAGTCTTTTTGGCCCCATCATAGCAGAGCACCTGTAGATGACTCTCTTGACCCACTGATTTCTTCATTGTTTTTCCAAATACTGAATATAATTAGTCTCTTTGTGATCATCTGTCTCATAACAAGAAGGTTTGACCACATTAAACATGAGTACTATGTTAATTAATAACTACATTAAAAGTTCTGTTACAGAAAATTGACTCATGTGCGCTCTAAGCCAAGTTAAAATGATGTTACCTCATTGTGTTTTGATTCATTAACATGTTTGAATAACCCTTTGTTATTACTGTTTACATCTCCAAATCTCAAAATGCTCTATTTCATCTTGTGATGTCATGAAGCGGTAGTGCTAGAAACAGCATTACCATTGGCCCTTTAAGCAACCACTTGGAGCAGCAGGACTCACTGGACCTGTCTGTTTGCCGTTGGCCGTTGTCATTGTGGTGACGGAGGAGCTGTCAGATTAAGCCTCCTCCACACTGGGCCTGGACACAAGCTCTGACATGTGACAGTCTGAGGAGTGCTGTGGACATGCTCTTGTAATACACGTGCACAATAAACACTCAGATTAACATAGGGATCTTTATCCTATACTATTATCTGTTAATATTGCAAGACAAATTACATTGGATAACCTAACCTTGTTTTTTGTTAGTATAAAGTAACATGTTTGTGAAATGTTGTGAAGGTGTCCAGGTTGGAAAAGAGAAGTTCAATTCTGTCAGCTGGACAAAAGTTTTTTTTGATTGAATATGTTTCACAGCTCATCCAAGCTGCTTCTTCACTTCTGGTCAGAGGTTGGTGGACACTGCCTGAAGGGAGGAGCTAACTACATTGAAACTATTCTGAAACTAATACATCTACTTGTTTACAGTTTCTGTTTGTTCGCTAGGTCTGCTGAACTGCACAGTTCCCATTTCACGTATTCGATCAAAAAAACTTTTGTCTAGTTGACAGAACTGAATTTCTCCTTTGCTATAAAGTAAAATGTGCATATGTGTCTTGAAAATGCCACAGAGAGTTACTTCAGTGATCGAATCAGTACTAGAGAATCCTACTACAATGCATGCACACAATTTATCAGCAAAAAAAACTGTCTGATCCTACTCTAAAACTACATAGGAGATTGAATACGAAAATGATTAAAACTTGAACACAACATAACTCCAGGTACCTTTTGTTGAGGAAACATTATAATCCAGTTCAGCAGAATCTCGCTCATTTAAAGTCTTGTTTTACAGTGAGGCCCCACACAGTTTAAAAGTATTGAGTCACTCTTCACTGTTGTGTTTAATGAGATCTGTCAGTTACAGACCAGCTCGGGGCTCTACACATGTGTTCACACTTGAGAAGGACCAGACCTGACCTGACTTCAGTGATTTGTGTCTTCTCAAATACATCTCCAAAACAGGGTTCAAGTCGGGTTTAGGGCAATTAGGGAATATTAAATTTGATGGTGTCAAAAGTAAGAAAATATTTTGAAATTCTGTGTCAAGCTAAATTTGATATAGTTCAAAACTTGGCTGACAAGCATGTAGATGAACAATACTAGCTTCATTTTGAAATAACCTGGGGAACTTTTCTGGTGAAGTGTCAGCTACATGCTTGTCTCCATGGTGATATTAATACTTAACCTTAGACATTCCAGTGCGGCATTAAAAAAAACAGGCCAAGTTGCAGTCAGATAAGGACACCTGCAGTAAAACAAATGCAAAATAGACTTTAAACGGCCCATTATACTCTATTTACTATGTTAGTTTTGT